CATTTAAGATACGTCTTGAGAATGAGGGGGTGGTAATGTACGCTAGATTAAATACCTGATTCACAACTGCACCCTTTAAACCTTAATATCATCCGAACTGTGGAAGACATCTTCGTTTTTCTAGTTTTGAAAAGTAAATTTTCTGAAGTTTCTCCATTTTGTTCTGTATTAAGATATCGTGATGCCCCATTTTTTTTATATATTCAAAAAGAGAAATGGTGAAGTCTGATCTTCTGATCTCAGTTTTGTTTGATCATTATTGATCAGACAAAACTGTTGAGAATCAGAAATTCTTGATCAGACAAAACCGTTGATAATCAGACATTCTTGATCTGATAAAACCGTTAAGAATTAGATATTCTTGATCAGACAAAACCGTTGATAATCAGACACTCTTGATCTGATAAAACCGTTGAGAATTAGATATTCTTGATCAGATAAAACCGTTGAAAATCAGATATTCTTTATCAGAAATTATCGCTGAGAATCGCAAATACCATTTTATAAATTACGTTTACAGTTCCTCAGATAATCTTATAATTTCTTTTTCAAGAGAAAAGGGTCTTAGTACACTGCACAGTTGCAGTGTTTCCTGGCCATGGAAATATTTAAATCACAATCGTACTTTAAAGATTGAGAACAATATATGTGTGCTTAATAAAATAATTATTGATATTATTTTTTAAATAAATCAAATTATTAATATTTCTAGTTTGCATACTGAACTACAGTGTACTACGGTTCTGTGATATCTATACAGGTAAAATATCGCATAGTACAGTACAGTAGAGTACAGTACAGCACAGTACAGTGCAGTACAGTACAGTACAGTACAGTATTAATTGATAATTGTCGCTGACGTTTTTAGTAAAATGGAATTGTTTAAACTTTTCATCGTAAAACCAGATACAGAAGACGATAATCATTAATTTTTTCGGATACCACTGTATGATGCGAATTGTAGTTAATAATTTATCTTTTTAAAGGGACAGTAGGATTTCTAAACTACACATCTTTTTATATTCGATATTTCGGTCCCTTTAAACCTTTATTTGTGGAGATATTTTCGGTTTCATGAAAAGTGATCAATTCTGTCATTTTCTTTTTATGTCTCTGCAAGAATACGCTAGTAAATATCTGGGTACCTTTGTGAATCGGGAATTATATGACCATGTAAAAATACATTTGTTAAGTCAGCTGATTAATTTCGAGAAGTTGATTTTGCATTCAATCAGTTAATCAAGTAATTAAACTAATAAATCAATCAGTTAATCAAGTAATTAAACTGATCAATCAATCATTTTTAGAAAATGTTTTTATAGTTTAAACTTTTCTACTGGTCTTCAGGACTCGGTATAGGGGAGAAGAATAGAGATAGAAATCGTTTTAAAATATTCCAGTTTTATTTTTCATGTAAGAATTTGAGTTTTCCATCTATCATTATAGGATTTTATTCACATACTATACATAAACATATACTAGAAAACAAAAACTCTGACAAAAGAGATTAACTCAATTGAAAAAATGTTTTTAAAAAAAATATTTTAATTTTTTGTTTATTATTACACTAAGTATTTTTTTCAAAATGCAATAAAAGAGTATACAATTTCGAAAGGTGTTCGGTAATTTCCCAAGGGCGATTCCCCTTAAATGAAAATTTTCTATTTGGGAACTTACAAAACGTGCAATTTTCTAAGCAGAAACTTCCCAAAGGTTAGGATATGCCTTCTCAGGCGCCGCAGGCTGTACTGGGGTGGGGGTGCGAGCGCTGCGGCTACGTCATACTTTGGAAGTTGCCACTTGGAAAATTACCCTTGTGAAGTTGCCACTTGGAAAATTACCCTTGGGAAGTTGCCTCATGGGAAGTTGCCTCTTTGGAAAAAGCCTTAGGGAAAGTACCCAACGGCCAACACCTTTCAAAATATTCGAATATCGGAGCCTCTAAAAATTGAACAAGCCTTTAAATGTTTGAAAACTAATAAAATAATGATGCCCGTCTCTACTGAGGAGAGAAGTAAATAATTTAAACTTTATTTTCCTCGGGTAGAAACCTTCACAGCCTCACAACTTCTAGCAAATTCGAAATAAAATAGCTTTTTAAAAATGATGGTGGAAGGTTAGATAAGTTTCTTAACACTTAGAAAAGAATTTCGATTTGACTGTCTTTAGCTCAAAAACGCCAGAACAGATTATAATCCCATTAAAGGGAGTGTAAGCGTAATTATAATTGGCCCTTGCATGTCCGATTTAAAACAGTATACCTTTAAACCTTTGATTGATCACTTGGTTTGCAAGCTGTTATATTTCAGAAATATTAATAAATAATTACTTTCTAAAAGTCACAGAAAATAAATATTGATATTGAAATGTTTGATTTTTTATCGATGATTACAAGCTAGTGTACACTACAGTTTTACGGATATTAGTTTTAATTAGAGTTCCATATAATTATTTAATTGAAAACTAAATATCTGAAACATTCCATCATCAGAAAGTGAAGAATACGACATTTAATGAATTCTTTCGATGTATGGCTTATTTAGGGTTTAACTGTAGAGTTTCTAAATTTTAATATTAAAAAATCTTGAATTCTAAAAATAGTTGATATTTTGAAAAAAATCCCTAATCTCAAAGTATTTAAAAATAGATGCTGCTTTGTAAAAAAGCGTTTTAAAATTATGTTAACAACAAAGTTTGTCCGCAAAACATAAAAAAATCATTGCACAAAAAAATATTACATTTTTGACGAAAAGGAGGGACAAGGGGCTATATAGCCGCCCCCCCCCCCCCCCCCCAGTTGTCACACTAAAGTAGTAAAAATGTGGAGGAATTCCATTAGTGAAACAATTTCCAACAATTAGTAAATTCTTCTCCCTCTCTCTTTTATAAAGAACATCAAATATTTTCCTGATCCAGTTTCCAGAATAATTTCAATTACAGTGATAATCATAAAACTCTGGAATAGGAAGACGACTTTTAGACTTAAGTTATGACTTTAAAAAGTCCATTAAGCATGAGACACAGGTTGTGCAGTTTAAACAGGCCCATTTAAGTTAATAAGTGATTACATAAATTGCTAGTAAAACTACTTGCTTTGTAACAACATAAGATACATTTAAAGGGAGTGTTCGCGAAAAATGAAAGGGGGTATATATAGGCTTAATGCGATAAAAAGCGCTTTAGATCGCTACTAATCTTACTTCTATCTGTTGCGTCTATAAGAAGAAAATTGTTAAAAGCGACTCACACAGAAGAACGCAGCGTCCATACAAATTCGGAAAGATGCAACATTCAACTCTGATCGTTAACAAATCAATTTAACTCCAAACAAATCATTCAGATATTACAAACAGTAGTCATCGATTATTTTTCGACGCATTCGCATATAGCTAATATTTCATAATATTTTTGATTTAAAAAAAAAATAATTTTCGCTGGCGCAGGATTTTCGAACATTCCTGGAAAATATGAAAATGTCGTCCTCATCATCAAAAATCCTCGAAACAGATATAAATGTTTTCAAAAGTAACTCTCAGATCATGAAAAACTTTTGCTTAAATGTCGTCTTAATATTCCAGTTTTCTGGTTCTCACTGTGGCAAAGTTAAAGAAATAAAAGTTATATGTTAATGAATTATAATATGCAATGCTCATTTATTAAAACAACATGAGAATTTAAACAGACCAATGTCCGAATTTAATGAATTTATGCCGCGCCTCAAATCCCCAAAAACCGGTTTCAATTGAGTTTAAATCTTGAAAAATTTAATACAATTTTAAGTGAAACCAACCATTTTTGAGCCCCCGCTTAAATTTAAGCCACGGCTCAAATTCTTTAAATTATAAATCAAGTTTAATATTATTTCTTTCAGACACTTTACTTGACCAACAAAGTTAAATATTGAATTCATCCGAAATCTGCATTTGGACATACTGTAATTAGCATCTAATTAATATTATTGATTTTAGATATTAATTAGATAATTAAAAGCCCGTATATCTAAGCTAAAATTCAGGCCTGTCAGTTTGAAGTTTGAATCAAGGTTGTTTATCAGGGTAGCTTACTCTCAATTCGCTCCTAAAGGTACGGAAAATGTCGTCTCCTAGGTAACGGAAATGACGTCACTAATCCCTACACCCGCTTCTATTACTAAGTAGACGACATGGAACGTATCGAGAGTAAGCAACCTTACAAAACAACCATGGTTTGAATTTTTTTATTTTTATACTGGGACGTCTTTGAATTTTCATGTTAAATGAGACAACCTGTATATGTTTAGGTTTACTGACTAGCTGGGTCACCATTCTTGCAATGTCGGCGCTTCCTCACACCATCAGATCCCTCTTTCAGATGGTCGGAGCCATTGGTTAGTTTATTCTTACAGGGTGTCCCGAGAAACATGACATTTAAGATACGTCTTGAGAATGATCTATAGTTTTGTAAATATTATTTGTCTACTAGCTTGCAACTTCTGCTTTGCCTATAAAAAACAAGGTTTCCCATAAAAGTGAACTTACATTACGTAGAACTTTAAAACCAACAAGCTCTAAGAAACATTTTCGTGGTTTTGCCTAGTTCCCAATCATAATTTTAGGCAAATAGGTCAAAGGGATTCATGATTTAAGATCGGACATCCAAACAAACAAACAGAGAGACAGAGAGACAAACAGAGATTACTACTTTATACTAGCTTCGTAACCCATGGCGTTGAGTTGTGTTGTGATTTCTCAGCGCTTTGTCGGAAATTATGATAATTATGATTTTAGCTATTTTTCCCTTTAAAAGTGAACTCACTCAACTGATAATCTCAAAACCAAGCAAAGAACATTCCTGTGGTTCTAACAAGTTCTCAAGCAAATTTTGAGGCAAATCTGTCCGTGGGTTCATGGGTTATGTTCGGACATTCAAACAGACACCACACTCCTGTATGCCTAGTCCATTAGCGCCTGATCCAATCAGGGTTCAGTCATGTGTTAGTTCTCTATTCTGAACCAATAGAAATAGTATGACGGTATTATCTATCTTTCTATCTATCTCATTATCCAATCAGAGTTATGAATCCTTCAATCGGCGCTATCATTAAAGGGAAATATTTACTTCCACTGAAACTATAGTGACCAAGAGAGACAAAAAGTAGTTCAACGAACTTTGCCTTCTCAGGATCGTCATGAGACGCGTGAAGCATTATGTTTAGTATAATATATAAAGCATAATTTAACATTTCGCAGATTTCTTTTTTTTTATCTAAGGATTTTCAAAAGTTATTTTTAGGAAAGTTTAATTTTAACCACCCATACACCGCCGCCCTGGAAAAGTGAAAGGTCAATCGAACCCGATAGATTTGGTCGGTTTGTCGGTTATTGAATACAAATAATAAAAATCTAGTTAGTAGTTAGCAGTAAGAAAATTGGTTTTGAGATTTAAATCTTATATGTTTTGAATCATAACTCCTCTCATTAAAGATCTGAAGAAGAATTTGTCAATTTCAAGTAAACGGATACGTTTACTATTTTTTTCTTGTGCGTAAAGCCAGAACCAGAACCAGAACCAGAACCAGAACCAGAACCAGAACCAGAACCAGAACCAGAACCAGAACCAGAACCAGAACCAGAACCAGAACTAGAACCAGAACTAGAACCAGATAGCTATACGAGGTCACAACTCACAAAGCTGTATCAGTAATGTCGCATAAGTTTGACGATAAATGTAAAACAACAAAATGCCAAAACAAAAGACTAGAAATTTTTGACCACAGGCAAAGCTCCATTATCTCTAATCTACAAATTTAAACTACACCATTTATATATGTATTTATATCTTTGTGTGTGAATAAATCTTTATATATATATTTAAAGTTGTAATCTCTGTTTGTCTGTTTGTTTGTTTGTCCTATCATAAATCAGGAACCCCTGGACCAATTTGCCTCAATTTTTGAATGGGGAACTCGATAGGACCACGGGAATGTTCTTAGCTTAGATTTGAGATTCAGATATGAGTGGTTTGACTTTTATAGAGAAAAATAGCTAAACTCGAAATTTACGACCAAGCGCGGGTAAACGGCGTGAGTTACAAAAAGTACTCTGGGGAACGCTGGATCCTCAAGATCGTTCAAATATATTAAAAGTAGTAATCATTGTTTGTTTGTTGGTATGTTCGATCATAACTTGTTACCACTTGACCGATTTGCCTCAAGCTTTGATTAGGGAACTTTAAGAAATTTATTTTTAAGTAAGTTGACTTTTATCCAGTAAGTTTAGTTTCCAAATTAAGCTGGGTTCCCATAATAATTAATGAAAGTTTCACCTTAAAGAATTTGCTAATAAAAACTTTAGGAAATTTGTTATGATTAAAATTAAAAAAGACTATCGAAATAACGTTAGTAAAAGAGGTAAAAATAATAATGATTTGATATTTGACGTATGCCTTGCAGTTTCACCGACGCGAACCAACAACTTTAAATAAAAGGAACTGTATTAAATATATAGTGGTTTATTAAGTTTAAAATAAAAGTGTGGAGAAAACGACTTCTTTCTTTTGAATACAAAGAATTTAAATTTCATTTTAATATTAAAAAATTGGAATATTTTAAAATGTGTAAACAAATTTTTTTGCAGGAATATCGTTGGCTGTACAACACAATTCTGGAAGCTCATTAACTCAGGTCATTAGGTTTTATTATCTTAATGAGCGCTTTAATTACATCTTTAACGAGATGATATATAATTTTTCTACTCAGATTTTAGCAAATAATTCTTTTGTTTATACTATGTTCTGAATTCTCTTTACAATTACACATTGTAAAGTGTTATATTTTATCATTTACAGTTGTATAGCTTTACACTTTACAGTTGAATAGCTTTACACTTTACAGTTGTATAACTTTACACTTTACAGTTATAAAGCTTTACACTACAGTTATATAGCTTTACACTTTACACTTATATAGCTTTACACTTCACAGTAGTATAGCTTTACACTTTACAGTTATATAGCTTTACACTACAGTTATATAGCTTAACACTTTACACTTATATAGCTTTACACTTTACATTTGTATAGCTTTACACCTTACAGTTGTATAGCTTTACACTTTACAGTTATATAGCATTACACTTAAAACTTATATAGCTTTACACTTTACATTTTTAAAGCTTTGCATTTTACAGTTAATAGCTTTACAATTACAGTTATATAGCATTACACTTAAAACTTGTATAGCTTTACACTTAACATTTTTAAAGCTTTCATTTTGCAGTTGTATGGCTTTGCATTTTACAGTTAATAGCTTTACAATTACACTTTACAATTACACTTTACAATTACACTTTACAATTACACTTTACAATTAGAATAATACAGTTTGCTTCACTTTTGTATTTTCTGTATAAATTTATTAACCAACAATTAGAGATTTGATATAGAGAGGATGTAGTTCGCGAATTTTACGCTTTTTTGCATGCAATCACTCATATTTGTATCGCTCTATCTCTCTCTATATATACTCTGTGTTTAACCAAATTTATGTATAGACGATATAGTTCCTCTCAATATATACTCTGTGTTTAACAAAGTTTATGTTTAGACCATATAGTTCCTCTCTATATATACTCTGTGTTTAACAAAGTTTATGTTTAGACGATATAGTTCCTCTCAATATATACTCTGTGGTGAAACAAAGTTTGTACGATTTAGTTCCTTCTATTATATATTTATGCTCTGTGTTTAGACGATACCATTCCTTGTTGGCTGTTGTGTTCTTCTTATATCTTGGATATGGAGGTGTTCAGCCCACAGGTACCGGGTGTCCCAATAATTAGGGGTACAGGGTGTCCCAATAACATGAGTACAGGGCGTCCAAATAAATAGGGGTACAGCTAGGGTCTCCCAATAAATAGGGGTAAGTGGCATCCAAATAAATATGGGTCAGGGTCTCCCAATGAATACGGGTACAGAGCATCCAAATAAATAGGGGTACAGAGTCTCCCAATAAATAGGAATACAGGGCGTCCAAATCAATAGGGGTACAGAGTCTCCCAATAAATAGGAATACAGGGCGTCCAAATCAATAGGGGTACAGAGTCTCCCAATAAATAGGAATACAGGGCGTCCTAAAAACTAGGGGTACAGAGTCTCCCAATAAATAGAGGTACAGGGCGTCCAAATCAATAGGGGTACAGAGTCTCCCAATAAATAGAGGTACAGGGCGTCCTAAAAACTAGGGGTACTGCAGAGTCTCCCAATACATAGGGGTACAGAGTGTCCCAATAAAAAGAGGTACAGACCGTCCAAATTAAGAGGGATGCAGGGTCTCCCAATAAACAAATTTACAGAGAGGTGTTCCTGGTGTCACAATGAAGAAAGGGTCAGGGTGCCCCAAAAAACAAGAATACAGGGTGATTTCATGATTATTTGAAAAATTAGTGTCATGTTCTGTTGAATAATTTATTCACTTGTGAATCTCTTTAATGATAAGCTTAATGATTTATTCATTCATTGCTTAACTAAAAAATTGGAATAATTTCTTTAATTTAATAATAAATTGATTTAAAAAGTTATTATTTTCTTGTTTAATTAGCTTCTCAGTTTTCAAAATATTTCAAAATATTTTTTGATGCAATGGTCAGCGTTTATGTCAATACAATAAAGACGTATTTTCTTTTTAAGTTTTCAAGTAAACAGAGAGAAGCTGTCAATTGACAGCTTCTCTCTGTTTCCATGTTTATATGTTTATAATCAAAATTGAAATCGAAAGTCGTCTTCAGTGCACTGATACAAACTACGACGACTTTATGTTCAGAAGTTTCTACCCGGGTTGGAAGTATCTCGGATTATACTGTATTCCTGGAGTTCTGGTAACTATTGCAGGTATTAACAAGTCGTCTTCATTCTACGCGGCATTCATCACACTTTTACACTTAAAGGGATTGTAATTTCAAGGGATTAACTATTTACAACGATATCTAACTCGGAAATAGCGGGAAAGTATTTTGCTAATCATTTAAAAGCTATTCTCAAAACAAAAAGCTTAATTATTAAATTGTTATTTCAATGAGTTTTGGGTGTCGTTAAAGTCTCCTTTTTAATATTTCCCGCCAAATATTTTCTATTTTATGTTCAGGTCAACTTTGTCTTCAGCTGGCTCCAGAGCACACCCACCAACAGTACCTACACGCCTCCTGGCATATAGCAAAGGGTGTGGCACTTATGCTCCTCCTACCTGAAGGTCCCTCCTTAGACGGTAATATTCCATGTACAGAGTATCCCAATAAACATGGAAATTGAGTGACGACTTGGAAGTCGTCTTTGGTCTTCGTTGCATTTTATAGAGGAAAGAAATATGATATTATGTAATTTTGCCAACACAATGAAGAATGCGAAAATACTTAAAATAAATTTTAAAAGTTTAAGATTAAACAAATAATCCTGATAATATATAAAAAAAATGCTTAAAATAATATCAAAATATATTATATCCTGGGATTTACCAAGGTCGGTCTACTTAATCCTTTCTTGAAATTTAAGAAATTGTGTTTCCAATTTCAATATTTTAAGATTTCTTTTATTTTAAATATGCGAATTTTCGACTTTATTTGTTTAATTTGAAGAAAAAAGACAACAATTATATCTTCGCTTAGTTCTCAAGGTGAATCAACAAACGTACAGGGTGTCCCACGAAACATGACAGTTGGTGAATAGATTAAAATGTCTTCTTCAATTATTGTTAAGTTGTTTAAGAGAATGACAAAAAATATTAAATGGCCGTCATATTTTATTAAAATCAATTTCAAAGTAGAATATATTTGATTAAAAGTTTTGTTCACGAATTAAAATGTAAAGTCTTTTAAATATATTTCTAAATATACAGGGTGTCCCACGAAACATGACAGTATGCAGGACGACTTGAATGTCGTCTTGATTTTTGATATAATTTGCTGCGTTTATTTGTCAAAATATGTATATTTGATTTCTATATGTATATTTATTGGATTGAATTGATATTTTAATTCCGTTGATTTTTAAGCAAAGCTTTTTTATAATTCTTTGAAAAAATTGTATTTAATTGAATTATTTAAAATTGTATTGCAGTTTTCCCTTTATTCAAAATTTACCTTTTGTAAAAAATAGAAACATTGATAATTAAATTGTTATACTGCAGAGGGAGGACACTAGCTACAGGGTTATTCACAAAGAATCAGACTGTAAAGACGACCTGAAACTTTTCAAATATTCCTGCAGGGTTAAATTAAGTCTTCTACATTAAAGATAGTCTTTAAATGGCTTATTTATTATTTATGGCAATGAGGAAAGAAGGTTTCAAGTTGCAGTAATTTATGAAATTACGCCTAGACGTTCCTGAAGTCTCATCCTTTGTGGGTAACCCTGTATATTTAACACTGATGGCACGAAACCCCAATTACAAGGAAGTTCATCATATATCTGTATCGGAATATTCACACTGAATTGGAATATTCTGTCTTATTTTGATCTCTCATTCAATAAACGTCAAAAATGGCGTAACAGACATTACATATTTGAAAATTTTAAACTGAAAGCACAACAAAAAAGCAAATCCATATTCAATGGATGAAAAAAGGATTAAGGATCACTGAAATCTCTTTAGATTGACAACTTAGTGTGTCATTAATTAATAATCACTAAAATCGGGGTGCGGGCAATTTGAAACAGATGAACAAATAGCAATCACTTCATAGATATATTGTTATTTAGAACCTAGCAAGCCAGCTCCAACATCAACATCTGGAGCCACAACAGCTTCAAGAAACCAGTTAAATCAGTTCCAGGTTCAAATTATAAAATCGCCATTTTTCTTTTTCTTTGTGATCCAAATGTTGCAAGCTCTCACGTAATAATCACACAGAATCTTGTCAGTTACATTTTAAAATCTGAAACTACATGTTACATAATATACACTTCTAGGACTACAAAAATGTGTAAGTAATGTAGTGAGGTAAAATCAAAGACTTGCGGCGGCACACTTTAAAGTTGATCCAGCCTTTAGATGGAACTTTTTACAGCAGCCTGGATCAATGTGAACATTTTCAAGAATCAATCAATCTGAGATAAAAACTTATTTAAAACATATATTAATAACAATACAGATAGAACACTAGATGTCGTCTTTTCAAGATTTAGAGGTTTTTCGTTCACAATAATACTAAGGTAGAAGCTCAAAGGAGTTAAGCGCATGCCGCATAAAACAGGCTCTCTCTCTGTCTTGTAATTCAACGCGGCCTGCGTGTAACTCCTTTGGGCCTCAGCCTCATGGTTATTGCAGTGTACGAAAAACCCCGAAATCTTTAAAAGACTACATCTAGTGTTCTATCTGTATTATAATTCATCTATGCTCTGAAACTTCTTTTAATTTAAAAATCTATTTTGAAAAGAATACAACACTCTTAAATACAACACTCTTTAAATACAACACTCTTAAATACAACACTCTTAAATACGTATTTTAGAGATTATTTCAGAGTGTATAATTTCAGATTGTATAATTTCAGAGTGTATAATTTCAGAGTGTATAATTTCAGGTACCAGAAGTAAGCTTCAAACATCTGACCGACAGTAATCAAAGCAGTGTAGACGATATGGCAGCTGTTACAAGGTAAATCAGTTGTTACAAAGTAAATCAGCTGTAACAAGGTAAATCAGCTGTAACAAGGTAAATCAGCTGTAACAAGGTAAATCAGCTGTAACACGTTAAATCAGATGTTAAAAGGTAAATAAGCTGTTAATAGGTAAATCAGTTGTTACAAAGTAAATCAGCTGTAACAAGGTAAATCAGCTGTAACAAGGTAAATCAGCTGTAACACGTTCAATCAGATGTTAAAAGGTAAATAAGCTGTTAATAGGTAAATCAGCTGTTACAAGGTAAATCAGCTGTTGCAAGGTAAATCAGTTGTTGCAAGGTAAATCAGTTGTTACAAGGTTAATAAGTTGTTATAAGGCATATCAGTAGTAACAACGTAAATCAGATATTACTTAAACTTTAATTTAAACTTAATCATATATCTATTTATATCGTTTAATTAATTTATTAATTATTTTAGAATGGTCCCTGATGATAGTGCTTCTCAGCATCAGTTGTAATTAACTGATTATTATTAATAATTTTATGATAATTATGAATTATCTGATAAATCAATCAAGTTAATTAATTGGTCTTGATTATCAATTAAAAGTAAAAAAGTGATTTAAATTTAAAATATTACACTAACGTTAATACTTCACAAATTTTTAGAATTCAGTATTAATGTACATATAATGTACAAACACAATAAAATGTATAAATGATGTATTTGTAAATGTAACTACAGGGTGTCCCATCAAACATGAAAATTTAAAAGTGACAAAGTATGTAGCTCTTGGGAAAAAAACTTGTAAAATACCGCTCAAAGCAGAATAATCAATGTTTTACTCAGTCGCGTCTTGAAAATGTCATGTAAAGTGGGACACTCTGTATGCGCAAACTCTTTGTTAAAATTAAAACATGTTAAAACCATGGCATTATTGTAAACCATGTAATTTTTTTGTTTTTAAATGTCTTTTTCCCAGGGTGTCTCACTTATTATGAAAATCAAGAGATCTTGTTTAATAGCTTTCTAATGGCAAAGTGTGTAAATAGAGCGGGGGAAAGCAAGCGGCCAAAAGCCACATAATTTTCCCCATCCATGCCACATATTATGTAGCTTTCTTATCTTTCCACAGCCATAAGCAACAACTGTTCGGTCTCCTATATCGCAACATTTCGGCAATTATTACGTTTTAATTTGCCGGAAGACACAAATGTTGTTGCATGGATGACCGAAACGGTTGTGGCTGGAAGCAAAATAGCTAATATGCGGCGTGGAAGGAAACATGTTGTGGCTTATGGCCGCCTGCCTTCCTTCGCTCGTATAAAGTGTGTTAGTTTGTTTGCAACGTTTTTCATTTGATAGACATAAAAGATTGCAAAGTCGATGTGTAGATCATCTCATGCCATTATATATTGGGACACCCTGCACCCTGCCAATATACATTGGACACCCTGTACTCTGCCATTATATATATGCGTTTCATACAGCACATGTTAAAGGCGAAAATTTATCTAATTAATTGTCATGAATATAACGTTTTATGGAGATTATAAAAAAAAAAATTAAAACTGAATTGGGTAGAAAAATAGTTCAAATGAGCAAGAAATGCGTTGATTTAAACTACAGGATATGACGTCATGTCAGTAGTTCAAATAAACAATAGTTCAAACGAACAATAGTTCAAACGTACCATAGTTCAAACGGCAGTAGTTCAAATGCGGATCCACCGGATAGGCATAGATCGTAACTAATGTCGTCTTCTCCAGAAATCCAGTATTTTTTTTAACCTGTTGACGATTCATTACATTGTCTTTTGTACTGGATAAAATAGTTATTTAAGAACAAAACAAGAAAACCCCTTTAGTTTTTCTATCTTGAAATATTCAATTTGTCCATAAAAGTGACTAGTGAAAAGACAATGAACACAATTAACAGAATTCATCACTTTTAAGTTGAAATAAAGCTGATATTTCCCTCGTTGTAACCCAAATAAATGTTTAAATAGTACCCTTGTTGATAAAACCTTTAACGGGTTGGTAACTTGAACATTAGAACGTTTACTTTTGGTTTGAAGTATATAAAGTGTTTATAAGAAGAAAATTAATAACTCAGAAATCAAAAGAGTTAATGTCCTGTTCATGTCTTCTCTACAGTCTCTACAGTCTCTAGAGGCCTTTCAGTAGTATATCAGTTGATTTAGAATAGAGAGAAGCATGTTTTAAGATCTAGGGAATCGTAATGTAAAAAAATGAGCCTTGTACATGTCTTCTCTAAAGTGAGTAATCCATGTATGTTTTGTTCAATTGAATTAGTAAAATACGATTCCATACAATGCATGCATGTCATAACTGTTGTTTGATGGAAATGCAGGGCAGAATTTCGCCACGTTGGAAAATGTTAACAAAAGCCTGATCCATCGGGTTCAGATATGGTAATTTATTGATCTCTGATAAATGTAAGAAAAGACTTAAGTTGTTGGTAATATTGGCTGAGAGAAGTCTTATACTGTGTGTCCTAATAAACATGGCCGGGAATTAGAGAAAACTTTAAATCCTTATTTTCAAGGAAAATGAAAAAAGGATAATAATCTGTTTGGTTGTTGCATTGGTTGTATGATCTATGGCTGGTCAGAAATAAAAAATTGATTCACTCAAAATAATTTTTAAAAAGTTAAAAAGAAATTTGTAAATGAAAATAGGATAGTCTGCGACAATTTTATTGTTAACATTTCAAAATGTAGGGAAGGTTCAGAGATAAATCCACCAAAAAAAGCTTAGACTATAAAAAACGAGCGCGAAGAGCACTGTTAATATCCTAGTAATTAATAAATAACTAAACATATGATTACTGTATATAGTAGAACAATAAGGGTTATTTAACAAGATGATTTGTTCTTAAAAAAAGTATATTTTACAAATTTTGATTAAAAAATCTGAACACAATCAAATAATAATTTACAATCTCTATGAAAGTCAAACTTTTCAACTTATTCTAGGAAACTTTTAGGAAGAAAAACTTCGATTCTTTTCAGCAGATCCTGAACCAGATCCTCCTTCTCCTTCTCCTTCTCCTTCTCCTTTATATTCTCCTTCTCCTTTTTATTCTCCTTCTCCTCTTCCTCATTCTAGGCACATTTACATTTGAAATTTGACATTTGACATTTGACATTTAACATTTGACATTTGACATTTAACAATGACATTTAACATTTAATAATGACATTTAACAATGACATTTAACAATGACATTTGACATTTAACAATGACAATTGACATTTAAAAATGACATTTGACATTTAACAATAACATTTGACATTTAACAATGACATTTGACATTTGATATTTGACGCTGAAACAATTAATTTTATTTTATTTTATTTTCAAGTTACTGTTGACACTATTTTTTTCTGACATCATCAAATGCATTCAGTTTATTGGTCATACTGCAGTTTTTGTGAATTCTTTCTAAAAAGCCAAAAACTTTATTTATAGAAACTGAGCGCAACAATCAATACTTTTGGATGAAAAAAATGTTAAACCTCAAAATCTGAATCTGTCTCTGCACTGTGTTTCAAGAATCCTGGAATAAAAGAACTACGAAGAAGAATGTACAATGTCAGCAACCCCTCAAATCCTAAAAATACAATGAACGGTTGAAAAATGGTGATATTTTTGCGGAAACGCCTTTTGAGTAATATTATCCCAAAGCTATTACACTTATTAAAGGAACTGGAAAGGAAAATGAAAGGGGGTATAGGCTGAAACCTGACAACTCAGGAGTTGAACGATACATATATATATATATAAGACATTTAAATGATGTTCCTGTCTAGAGAAATTGATATAAAACTGTGTCAAAATTATACCAAAGCGTATATAAATAAGATTTTGTATAGGATTCGTAGTATTTAACAGACCATATTCAACAATTACGCAACCAATTTGAAAACGACGATATCCGAGAGAAGCCTGAGAAACTCGTATTGCTCCTGTTATAATTTCATGATTTTTATTTTGCATTTTTAATAGATATAATTGATAATATTATTACATCACCAGAACTCCCATCAAATGGCAGTGCAGTATCGTAGTCACGTGTCTCCGTCTATATTGTGACAAGTAAATTGCACTGTCATTGGTGGTAGTTCTAGTTACGTAATAAGGACATATAAATAATATTTTCAAATCCGTACAATCCGTACAATTTGAAAAAAATCCGTACAATCCAAGCAATTTTAGGGTTTTAAAAAATATCCGTTCAATCCGTACATTTAATAAATAATTGATATTTAATAAATAAATTGTCGAAAAAAATAAAAGCCACAATTAAAAGTTGAAAAAGAAGATGGGCACGAAGCGCCCTAAAAGCCTTGTAATAAATAAATACATAAATAATAAGTTTATATCTGGATTATCATTCTGAAAATTGATGAACAATAAATAAATTGCTAAATAATAAATAACCGATATGATAATTATTAAAAAAATTGCCAAACAATAAATAAATTGATCAATAAATAAATAAATTAATCAATAATAAATAAATACATAAATAATGAGTTTTTGATAATTGATGAATTATGGATTAATAATGTAATATGATCAATAAATAAATATATGGACGAATAATAAATAATTGATAATTAAATAGATGGAGAACTAACCAGGAGTAGTGAAGTATCCGGGATAAACAGTCAGTTCCTCAGATTCTGCGAAAAATGAGAAGTTAGATATTTAAATCATTTAAAAGCAACAATATTTTACCTTGATATTTTGTCAAGAAATAAAATTAGACTAAACACCTCGAAAGGTCAGTAAAAGTTGCTTAAATCGAATCGAATCAAAGCAAAGCAAATCAAATCAAATCAAATCAAAACTTAAAGGACTGTCTTACTTCAAATAAGATCTGAAATTTTTATGAAATATACCTAGAGCTTGAATGAAGGGTTCTGCTACACTAACGATCTCAGAAATCGTCAATCTATAAAAAAGGATTGAATGGAGTGTTCATTTATTTTAAAAGGACAGTAAACGTAGTTTCAAGTGACTCTCAATGCAAAGAGGACAATGCCCAATTTACAACTGTACCCTTAAGACCTTTAAACTTATCAAAACCCGCTTGTATTCAGCAAATTCAAGTAAGCGCTGTGTTGAGTTCAGACACAGCTCACACTTATATTTGCAGCTGAATACAAGCAGGTTTCGATAAGTTTACACGCACCAATCTCTAGTTTGACGTGAATGATATTTTCGTTTTTCTCTTTTAAGGTAATAAATTGTGTTAATTTTCTTCTGCACAATCCCTTTAATAGGAAATAATCACAATGCAAAATTATCAATTTTCAGATAAAAAACAAGGACATAATTCAGTAGGGTAGCAGAGAGTATCTAACATGCTCTTTATTTTAAATGACTGGTAAGGTTTTGTTAAAACCATGTCTGCAGTCTCCATACAAGATCCCATATAAAAATGGAACGAACTTGTAAACAAGTACCTGGCCTAAAATAATAATAAACAATAAAATAATTTGGCTCAATGAGCAAGAAAAATCCATTTCTGCTTTTTTCCTTTCAACTTTCTCGTCTGGGAAACAGTTAAATTCAATTCCGCAGGGAAAAAAATAGCGCATTAGTTTAAAATAATTGATGTTTTTGATCTTCATTTAATACAAAACAAAACAACAAAAAATACCAGTGGAACATTAGAACTACCTGATATTTAAGTCTCCAGTCTCATCGATATGTTTTCTGTAAAAAAAACATTTGGATAGTCACTGCCATTTTTATAAATTTATTAAAATCGGTTTGAATTCATGTACATTGTACACAGTACAGTGAGACCCATAACACTGTGGAGTAAAATCTAGTGTATTTGATGTTGAATAAAGCAAATTGTCTTTCTTATGACTTGAAAATCATTTATGTTAAATAAGTCTGTGTACACTGTATGCTCTGTTTCATGTTCATTGGTTTGTAATCATAAATGAGGTCAACAATCGTCAACTTTTTCCACAATTCTAGGGGTCCCACTGTAATGAATTAATTATTACTATAATAATTTTACTAATATATAAAGCTCTTCGCTCATATATAATATATATTGCTAGCAATAGATGGCTAAACGGGGTTGGATCGAATTGACTGGAAATTGTAACGGCTAACATAAGCTAATTTTGTTTAAATTCCACGAAGAGTGACATAAACTTCAGCTGGTTCTTAAAATGTTTTAACGTATTGTATTATATTATAGGATTATTTTCAGTAATCATGTTAACAATTTAGAAAAAACGAAATAAAAAATTAATGAATAAATAAGAAATGAATAAACAATGTTTTTTTTTTATCCCTGATACAAGTGTATGTAGTTTTCAATAGAAGAACTGGTTCCGAGTAAACGTTAATTCCATCTCCTTTCTAGAATATGAAAAGAATACAGTGGTATAATGGCCGTCCTCCTTTTCATCAATTTTGTAATTGATTGATTATCTCTTAAGTGTCCTGAGCTGAGAACTCTTGTTTTATGATCAATGCTTGATCTCAATATTTTGTTGATCTGCAGATTAATTTTATATTCATTCGATATTTGTACCCTGAAGGAATAATTAAAATGAAATGATTAAGCATTGATTGTTAAATTAGAAGTGCCCCCAATGGATATTGGGATCAAGCGATTTGGAATATCCAACAAGTATTCAACACAAAAAAATCCCTGTCTTTCATTCCTTAATTTTCTTGTTGCTAGGTTGTCATTTAAATTATTAGTCTTTCATCATTTAAGTGGTAATCAAGGTTGAAGATTAACACAGTAACCGTCAACAATCAACTAATATTGCTAAGTTATCTTCTGGAGATTTGAAAGAGCTGACGTAAATCTGTTCATTAAAAGGTGTCCAGAGCTGAAAACTTTAGAATTGGATACCTTTAATCCCCTACTTAATCTTCTCTTTTTGGATTGCTCTAATGAGAGTTCGCTCATTGATTTCGCGGGCTAAATTTAAAAATTTCTCGGCTTCTAATTGGCTGCTTGAGATTTTGTATGCGCCACTCTATTGGTTGAATTTTACACAATTTCCAGAAAACAAGCTGAAGATTAGATTAATCTTGAGATAAATAAGACAAGATCAAGCATTGATCTCGATATCCACCATTCTTAAGTTTTCAGCTCAGCTCTGATACCTTAAATAGAACATGAGTCGTGAACTTGTAATCCTCCGGGTTATAACTAGACAATTATTCAAAATATCAAGATGAAGAATGCAGAAAATCGAACATGAGTAACTTTTTTTAAAATTTACCACCCCCACCACCACCCCGCCCCTGTGGCCTAAAGTCTATGCGATTCTTGAAGATTTAGGAGACAATTGAAAAATTGGAACTCGGTCAATTGAACCTTCGTTCAATACCATTTACCCAAAACTACATTTCTCTTTAAAATCAATTATTTACCCTAACAACCATTAAACCATTTCATTAAACCATAATTGTGTGGTTTGATGGCTAAAAGAAATTTGTAATTTCATTATTTCTTGCTCCTAAATCTTTAATTTCGTTAATATATTTATATATATATATATAAATAGGATATTTATTATTTATATCTTATAGCTGGAGCAAATTGGTTGAACTTTTTTGAGGGAACCTATAGGTACCCGAGGGATGAAAAATGCAAAAAAAAACTCTTTCAAAATTCGAAAGGTAGTTTTTTAGTTTTTTTTTAATTCCACGGGCAACGCCGGGCGCTTCAGCTAGTTGCATATATTGCTTGATATTTTTTCCTGAGTCGAGAAATGTTAACAAGCTTGTTAATCGGAGAAAATATTTCAATAATCTCGGTCAATTCTCTCAATCCATAATAGATCACATTTTCAATTCCTTTTTAACACTCGCATTTACCAATGTCGTAGAAAAATACAAAAATAAAAATTTAAACAAATTGACTTTACTTTAAAAGCTTACAGTAATTCATCTGAATCGTATGAAAACTAATCATTGTGTTTTAGATATATCCTGATATTATGATTTGTAAAGGAAATAAGATAAAAATAGAATACGATGATTTAGAAAATAATGCGTTTTGTTTTTCCTAATGACGTGTTAATTTCTTCGTGTTGTGATATCAATTGGGAACGTTTTATCTGAGCAGCAAAATTTGTTGCGGCATTCCTTACTTCCACGTCCTCATCCTGCAGTTTAAAACAATCTTTTATAAATAAATATAAATCCACGTCCTCATCCTGCAGTTTAAAACAATCTTTTATAAATAAATATGAATCCACGTCATCATCCTGCACTTTAAAACAATCTTTTATAAATAAATATGAATCGAGAATGCATCACAAACAGTAATTAATAGGACTGTGCTTGTGATTTTAAGTGATCCTCTATTTAATGTCTGATTCACAACGGCTGAAAAGAGCGTATACAGGCCGGGGGGGGGGGGCAAGGGGGCAGTTCCCCCTCTAGACCTGTAAAACTCAGAGTTATCATACTTTTAAAATCTGAAACTGAAGAGTGAAAAACATAAAAAAATAAGTTTGCTGTTTTTTTCTCCTAGTTTTGTTTGAAGGAGATATAAAGTAGTACAAACAAGGTACTTGGAATTTCTTTACAGTATCCAAGAAGCCAAATGTTTTGAATTTACAATTCAAATTTTGCCCCCAATCTCATAGAGCTCCAAAGGGGGGGGGCAAAAAAAATTAGCCCCCCCCCCTAGATTTATTTCTGTATACCCCTGCAACGGTATCCTGAAGCAGGATAATTGAGAAATAATTAATTTTAATTCAGCAATTTTTTCAACAAAAGGTCTTTTGAATGAATCATTTAATAGCTCTCTTGATTTTCCATCGAGAGGTGTAAGTTATTCCACCCCCCCCCCCCCACAGAGAACAAAAAATAGAAACAGGGAAGAGAAATAAAAAAAGAAAAAGCAGGAAAAAGAAAATAAAGAAAGATGTTTTCCCAGACAATTAGAAAAAGTAAAAAACTTCAAAGTTACCTAGAAGTTAGAACAGCAGGAAAGAGAGAAAAAAAATTTTTCTTAGAAATGTAACAAAAACTTAAAAAATTCAGATTAGAATTAAATTTAAGACAAAAAACTGTTACCTGTAGCAGAGTTAGGGCAGCATGAATGAGATTCATAAATCCATATTGAAGAATTGGTGTCATACTTCCTCTAGAAGTGTTATCATTACACATTATTTACAATTTTTTGGGGGAATTTAAAATTTTTTACGAAAATCTTAAATTTTTGTAATTTTAAAGGGACCGTTCACTTATTTGGGTAATTTCATGGTAAACTAAACAGCCTATTAGATGTTAATTGGTATCATTCTTACTTTTTAAAGATAACTGTGGCCGGAGAAAAAGCTGATTTGTATTTCAGAATTCCAGTGCAAAGGTACGAAACCTTTGCCTTCTGTTTCTTTGGCTAGCTCAATGTGCAATACAGTGATAGTAAAAACAAGAGCATTTAACAATCCTGTCTAACTTGAGCTTCCTTACAAAATGTAGTGAAATCTAACTCTCTAAATTAATCTGTGAGAAATAGTTGAACTAAGTACGGCTGATTCAACTAACTCTTAAGTAACATAGTTTGGCAATCTTATTGGTCGAAAAAAAAATTTCCTCAGATTTCCTGACCTACTAGTAGTGGTTTTTTAGGACTTAAAGTTCTCCAGTAAATTCAATAACTTCAACAGCAAATTTCAAGCATCTGGTCACGATTTAAATTGCACCGCAATATTTCCAATTCAGATATTTTTTCTTTAAAATGTGTTCGAAATATAAATGAAAAACTAACCTAATGCTGCGATGCTTCATACAGGGTGCCAATGCTGTCAAACAAGCAGCCGCACTCAACCTGTAAACAAGCATATATGCCCAATTTCTTAGTCAGGTAGAACCATAGTCACAATATGGTTACGCTCTGCCAGATAGATAGATACTACCTATGGTAGCATGTTTAAGAAATTGGACCATACAGAATGTCAGTTAACAAGATCCAGCTGCTCGACAAACCAAGCTACCTCGGTGTCTAGAGAGGGAACGATAACGATGCAATAAATAGGTGTAAATTTCATGTTCCGTTAATTCTAATAAATATATGGATACTAGATGTTTATATCTTAATGGGTGTTAAAAAACAAAACAAATACTTGACATTTTTCTCCCTCACAGGCTAACTTATGACCGATGATTATGAAATTAATATTGCGAGGTCTGTTTAGGACTATGTCAAACCTGCAAATCTAAGATTGGTCCAGAACTGGCTTAAAAATTACAAAAAACTGTTTAAAGGTTTTCATTATGACTCAAAAACTTTGAAAAGTTTTGTTCGTTACCAGATTAAAAGTTCAGGGTTGAGGTTATTTGACTCAACAGTGGTACCTCGCATAACCATGGGGAGGGTTAAGGATGCTCATAATTACAAACAGATGTATCCAAAAGCTTTTGATTTATGTTAAATTTAAAAAATGCGCGAACTTTTTGTTGTTGTTGTTTTATACTGTATAAAGATATTAAAAGTTAAAATATAGGATATTAAAAGTTAAAATAGAGGATGGCCGCGCAGCGCCCTAAAAGCGTAGTATTAAGTAAAATTGGTTTGTGCAATTGCTGTATATTATATTGATTTGACTCGTCACTATCGTAAGAATCATCTTTCTATCACTTTATTACCTACTATCTTCAACACAACTAGGAGAAGAAAACTGAAGAATATTTTCAGAATTCTGAACAAAGATTGGAACATATTCACTCATATCACCAAAAAACCAGGCCCAGTCGTCCTGGAAATATAATAATATTAATAATAGATTAATAATTGCAATCAGGATCAGTGTTTAGGAAGCCGATTTTCGAGATGTATGGACTGATGCTAACACTGTTCCGCGAGGACAAAACAGATATCTGCGCTATGGACCAAGAGGCCCTCTGCAGATCAACCTACAAGTAACAAGTAAGTAAACCAGGGCCAGTCGTCCTGGAAATATAATAATAATAATAGATTAAACCAGGCCCAGTCGTCCTGGAAATATAATAATATTAATAATAGATTAAACCAGTCCCAGTCGTCCTGGAAATATAATAATAATAATAATAGATTAAACCCGGCCCAGTCGTCCTGGAAATATAATAATAATAATAATAGATTTAACCAGGCCCAGTCATCCTTGAAATATAATAATATTAATTATAGATTAAACCCGGCCCAGTCATCCTTGAAATATAATAATATTAATAATAGATTAAACCTGGCCCAGTCGTACTGGAAAATAATAATATTAATAATAGATTAAACCCGGCCCAGTCATCCTAGTAATATAGTAATAATAATAATAAATTAAACCCGGCCCAGTCGTCCTGGAAATATAGTAATAATAACAATAATAGATTAAACCAGTCCAGTCATCCTGGAAATATAATAATAATAATAATAATAATATAATAATAATAATAGATTAAACCAGTCCCAGTCATCCTGGAAATATAATAATATTAATAACAAATTAAACCAGGACTGAGCCTATCATATGATTAGAGAGTGGTAACCAGAAAACCAGAAAACGTTTGTTATCTTCTTTTTTATTTTGAAATATCTCAATGGATTCTGATTTACTTCTAGAATGTGCACTGAGATTTAAAAGTTTAAAAGTGTGTGGATATTGTACATCTTAAATGCTTGATCTCAATATCCAATGTGGGAACTTATAAATTTGAAGATCAATACTTTCTGCCTAAATTAAAGTTATCCCTAAAAAATATGAACACCACGGGATATTGGAAAGGAATTAATTTAATCCGTAGATTTGCATAAGATGGAGATCAATGTCTGATACCAAGAATCAAAACTGTCTTCATTTTAAATACTTATATCTGAAGTTTAAATAATTCCAAAACACCTTGACAACATTTGAATATAGTCCTATTTCAATTAATTATATATAAACGGCTGTATGTTTGTTTGTATCCAATAAACGTCAAAACGGCAGAAATGATCGGGACCAAATTTTGTGTGGGACCTCACATGACCACAGGGAAGGTTTGGAAATGATCAAAATTTCAAAAAGTAGCCTCCAACAAAATTCAAATGTCATAAATTTTTTAAATCTATGAAATTTTTATATAAAATCCGCGAACTTTTTTGTTTGTTGTTTTAAAATGAATACAAAGAGAATATGTTCACAATTAAAAAAGAAGATAGACGCGAAGCGCCCTGAGACCCCAGTATAATTATAAATAAAAAGATGATAAAAGAACTTATTCAAATCAAATCACTTCAAAAATTAAATCAAAATAGAGCCCAGTTCTCAAACACAAAGTTCTTATAATAAATAAGGTCTGAAGAAGGCTTCAAAATATAAAGTTCAAAGAACAGTGGATTGGTTGTCGTCCTCATTCTGTAAATAATGAAATGTGGTTGTCGTCTTCCTTCATTAAATAATGAAATGTGGTTGTCGTCTTCCTACTATAAATAATGAAATGTAGTTGTTGTCTTCCTTCTTTCAATAATAAAATATGGTTGTCGTCTTTCTTCATTAAATAATGAAATGCTGTTGTCGTCTTCCTTCTTTAAATAATTAAATGTGGTTGTCGTCTTCCTTCTTTAAATATTGAAATGTGGTTGTCGTGTTCCTTCTTTAAATAATGAAATGTGGTTGTCGTCTTCCTTCTTTAAATAATGAAATGTGGTAGTCGTCTTCCTTCTTAAAATAATGAAATGTGGTTGTCGTCTTCCTTCTTTAAATAAAAAAATGTGGTTGTCGTCTTCCTTCTTTCAATAATAAAATTTGGCTGTCGTCTTCCTTCATTAAAAATGAAATTTGGTTGTCGTCTTCCTTCATTAAATAATGAAATGTGGTTGTCGTGTTCCTTCTAAAATAATGAAATGTGGCTGTCGTCTTCCTTTTTTCAATAATGAAATATGGTTGTCGTGGTAGTCATCTTCCTTCATTAAATAATGAAACGTGGTTGTCGTCTTCTTTCACTAAATAATGAAATGTGGTTGTCGTCTTCCTTCATTAAATAACGAAATGTGGTTGTAGTCTTCTTTCATTAAATAATGAAATGTGGTTGTCGTCTTCCTTCTTTAAATAATGAAATGTGGGTGTCGTCTTCCTTCTTTAAATAATGAAATGTGGTTGTCGTCTTCCCTCTTTAAATAATACAATGTTGTTGTCTTCCTTCTTTAAATAATGAAATGTGGTTGTCGTCTTACTTCTTTAAATATGAAATGAAATGTTGCTTTCAAAATTACAAATAACAAAATACCAAGTGACAATTTAAGATTTAAAGAAGGCAACAATTATTCCACAGTTTTCCCAGTTACTACAGTATTACAGTATTAATATTAGAAACTCATTTTATAAATCATCCTTGAACTAAGACGACATTTTAACATATTGTTTTACACTGTAAACACCAGGTTATAATAAAATAATAACAATCAGAACAAACCTGAATCAGCATTGCATTTAAACAGTTGGATATAAGAAGCATATCCTTAAGCTGTGTACTACTCCCAAGAATCAATGGACTTTTCTCTCTCTCGGCGACAATAATTGGCAGCAGCTCTGAGAATATAAAATATTTAAAAATTTTACAAAATGGCGTTTAACAATATATAAGAATTCTTTAATTACGCTTAATTACGTTAAATCGTTTCATTTTGTATTTAAAAATGTTTTAAGACTTAAAATGCTCTAAACTAGAGATAATCAAGTTAATAGAAACTATAAAAAAGCATAAAATAACGGGTTTAACGGATCGAAGCCTCAGAAAACCCGGGTTTTATTTTTATCTACATTGTGTAGCCAACAAAAACCAGTGGCTTATAACAAAAAAGTGTTTTCCGATCTTCGCCGAGCAATTTATCAATTTTGTTGGGGATTACAAAACGTGTGGTGGCACTCCTCCCCCTCTAAGGGTTGCACAACATGCTTTGCCTGTAAACTTAACGGGGTGCTTTGCTTTTACTGAAGGAAAAGAATTCAAAATTATAATAAAATAATATTTAGAAATTCTTCTGACTTTACAAAATATTTCTGTTCAAAGTAAAAGGTCAGTTTGGTTTGGCAAATACTAAATGCAGAATTTTTCCAGTTTTTTTACTTTGGCATATCTAAGGAAATTTACTCGATATTAATCAATATTTATCAACTAGCTAAAGTGCCCGACATTGCCCGTGGAATAAAAAAACTTGAAAAAAATCGACATTTTTAGCCATGGGTTCCTTAAAAAAAAAATGTCAGCCAATTCGGTCCAGCCTTTTGGCCAGCTATATCTAACATGTATGTATATATATATATATATATATATATACTGCAAAATAAAATCTGATGAATAGAGTCATACTGATGAGTCCTAATAGGACGAAACACTGTGTCTATGGATATATATATATATATATATATAGATTTATACATATATGTGTTATATAATCAATTTATTATTCAATCCAAAAACGTGATTCACATCCACATATAAATATATGTTTTGTTTATTCATTTATATGAGCGATGAACTTTATTATATAGATAATTATTTTGACTTAACCTCAAGTAGTTGTATCTCAATGAATATTTAGAAAAAATAAGAAAGATTTTGATTGATATTTGCAATCATCTAGAAGAAAAAGGTTTATCAAATATCAAACTTTATCAGCTAATAGGTCGTTTTAAAAATATGCTAAAAAATAATTTGCGACACCTTTGGCTCAGTTCGTCAATATATTTCCCCAAAACCATACTGCAGTTCTTCAACTATCATACAGGGAAATTTTTACCTTTTGAATGTTCTGTCACCTTCTTTTTTTTTAATTTTTAATGCACATTTTATTAATTAATTCTGGGACGTTACATATTTTTTCATTTCATAGATTTTAAGTTTAAGTTGAGGTATTCATTTTCAAAAATGTCCTCAACAACAGACGAAAAGAAAACAATACTCATTGATTTTAATAATAATAATTGTCCATTGTCCAATAAAAATGTTGAATTATTTTCATTGAAGTGAAGTGAAGTGAAGTGAAGTGATGTGAAGTGAAGTGAAGTGAAGTGAAGTGAAGTGAAGTGAAGTGAAGTGAAGTGAAGTGAAGTGAAGTGTTCAATGGGTTCAATATTATCTAATATCTTCAATATATAATAAAGCTCTTTCGCTCATATACAGATATATATATATATATATATATATATTGATATATACTTTACATTATATTTTTATATGTAAGCTAAATCTGGCCAAACAGCTGAATCGAATTATCTGAAATTATTAGAGGGAATCCATGGATACCTTGGGGTAACAAAAGCTTTATAAATAGTTTTTTTTTCAAGATTAGAAAAAAAATTAAATTCCACGTACAACTTCAGATATTTTCTATGATAAAATACCTAGTGCTTGATCAGGTTCATCGATCAGCTTTCCCTCTATCCAGTATTTAGAGTTAAATATATCGAGTACAGCGCGCGCAATTCTTCCGTCCGTGGAGAACATATGGGCCAGAAAATTAGGCACCAGCTTATCAGCCTACACAGATCAATGTCAGTGTCAGGGGACTTCAATAATACTTCGGATTACATGAAGGGAAAAGGATATTTGAAGTTGGACCCCTTTTTGACATTACCGTCTTTGAATGGAGATTGGGGGGCCACTTGAAATTACGCGTACAGTCCCTTTAAAAGAAAAAGGGTGGGGGATAATGAATGATTTTAAAATGGGAAAGGGGAGAAATGAATGACTTTAAAGAGGGAAGGCGGGAGGAATGATTGATTATGAAGGGCGAATGGGGGGGGGGGGTGGAATGAGTTATTTCAAAAAGGGAAAAAACGATTATAAAGAGGGAAATGGGGGGGAATGAATTATTTTAAATGGGGAAAGGGGGAAAATAAACGATTATAAAGAGGTAATGGGGGACAATAAATGGTTTTAAAGAGGAAAAGGCCCGGGGAAATAAATGATTTGAAGGAATGGGGGGGGGGGGGGGGGAAAAAAATGATTAAAGAGCGAAAGGGGTGAAACGAATGATGTTTAAAGAGGGAGAAAAGAGGATAGCGGAAATGATCTTTCGAAAATGAATATCAGTAAAACACGATCTTTCCTTTTTCAGTCGCTGAGGATCGTTTAAAATCCATTGAAGACGAGCCAATACTTTCTGATCTCCAGTGGGTCTCCGGTTAGGAGCCTGATCTTCTCCATCCTGATCTTCTTGATCTTGATCATCATCTTTTTGATCTTGATCTCCTTGATCAGCATGCTCATGGTATCCTAATAGTTCGTGATCAATTAATAAATCAAATAATTATTTTCAAATTTAGAACATGAATCTTGTTAATAACGTCACTAACTTATGAGAAATAAATCCTTGCATTAAATCTCCCACAGATTATCAAAAATAATCAATTTTCTACGAAAAATAAGATTAATCTTTATTAAAGGGTTTCCTTGCAAAAGAAATGATGAATAGTCTCTAGGCTTTTTTGTGAAGACTTAAAGTAGACAGAAGTACACAGAGTACATTGAATTGTTCACTATTAAGAATCCTTTACGAACCTGGATGATATTCTTCTCCTAGTTTTATCTCAACCTGTCTCCTAGCCCCAAGGGCTTCCTGCGTTCAAAAGAGACTAGATCTAATTCTAAGTTCAGGAAAACGTTGCCCCCTCNAAATTACGCAACTTTTCATAAGCATAAAATTTAAAAATAATTATTGGCCAAAATATTTTAGTCACTTTATCGGGTAAGGTAACTTCAGACAATTTCTGGGCCGAGCGCTGCTGCTAGAACAGGTTAGAGGCAGAGGAATTAAAAATGTTGATCTGATTTTATAAAAAAAATTTATCTTGGATTAAGTTCAAAGTTTAAATCCTAAGCGCTGATATTTTGAAAAAAGTTTCCTACTTTAGAGATAAATGTACAGAAATTATTCAGTCTGTTTTAGAACATAAATTGCTACTTTCAGCTATACACTTTTTACTTTCTTTGCTACAACATTTAGTATACAGACAAAAAACTAATAACCCTTCTTAAACTCATCCTTTGGGGGTATAACCCTGTAGTTTTGGTAAAAACTAAAAAAAATGCTCAACCTTGTTCTTAATTGTACAACAAAAACATTTACTAATCTTTCTCTTTCCTGAATATCAAAACAAATCATCTTTATCACATAACAATTACTTCCAGCATACAACTCATTTAACAGCTGCTCAATAGATGTCCTGCTGTCAGCTGTCATATCCTCAGCTGTTGACAGCGCCGACATATTCTTCAGGATGAGAAGAAGTCCGTGCTGCCGATTTGTGTTGAGCTCCTTGGTTGCCAGCTTTAGTGTGGCCAGGAAGGAGCTGGATTGGAACTCTGCTAGTATTCTTCCTATAGAGGGGGGGGGGGCATTAAACTAGAATAAGAATAAATTTTTACATTTTCGCAATCTATAAGGGTTGTTAGGAGCAGTGGATACATACAATAGATACATATTTTTATTTTGTACTTTTTTATTCTTCTTTCAAATAAACATTAAACAGAAAATCTGCAAAATCATATTAAACAATTTTTTTAAAAGAAAAAGGAAATCAATTTTATAAAAAAAGGAAAAAGGTTGTAGATTTAATAGTTCAGATTTTATGAATAGAGAAAAGTAGCTGAACCGCGCAGATGTAGTTCAACCAATTCTCTTGTGGTTTCCCCAACTCTACACGGTTCAATATGTCTTGCTATTCATTAAATCTGGTCCTTGTAACCCCCAGTGTCTTATAAAAGTATTGAAACAAATGTTGAAACCTTTAAAAAAAGATAATTGTATACATATTTCATTACAAAGAAAGCATTGCGTTAAAAAAAAGAAAAAAAACTATCTTTGCTTATACTTGCTTTCTCTCTCAGGCTCCGTTACTCACGTGATCCAAAGAAGAAAAAAAATGCGAGTTCAAATTATACTTGATGGGAAAAATATGATTATTTTGACAAGATAAAGAAAAAAATGAATTAGTTTAATGATCTGCCTGCTAGATGTCGGACTTGAAGAGCGGGAGAACTTAAAAAGCATCCGACAGAAACGCAGATTCTCTGTTTAAACTGATCCATCAGATGATCCCTTGACTGATCCCTAGACTGATCCCTTGACTGATCCCTAGACTGATCCCTAGACTGATCCCTAGACTGATCACTCAGCTGATCTTGTTCTAGCCTGGACAGTAAAGTCAGAATAGGAACCACAGAAGGGCAAACTAAAGAATGAATAAATAATTTGTTTTGATGTTTTTGATGTTTTTGATGTTGTTGATAAGATAGTGATAAAAATGACCCGGACCGACCATTGACCATTGACCATTGACCATTGACCATGGACCATGGACCATGGTCCATAATGATGATTATAATAATGACAAAAACAACAGTAATAAGAATACTATGAAAAAAACATTGACGATGATAACTCTAATAATAATGAAACAAAAACTAAGACTGACCTAATGAAGTTTTCTGTTGAGCTGAAGTATCCAGGTTGGTTAGAAGAATGTTTAATAAACCTGGGAACCTTGTATTCAATTCACTCAGTTTTATCTGAAAAGTGAAGGTTTCAAAACAAAGTTTAAAATCAATACCATAATCTAATTGCAATTCCAAACACTCAAAGAAACAAGCCTCAGAATATTTCAATGACTATTCAGCCTTGAAATGTATCAAGGTTAGGAACTTTGATCTTTGCTAGCCACAGTGCTGAGCCCTTGTCGGGTGAGCGTTGCGGCTCGTTGACGGAACTCACAATTTTGACTTCTTATAGGGACTGTCAATGTAATTTCCAGTGAACCTCAAATTAAAAGTTGCATGCCAGATGCACAATGACACCCTTCTAATCTTAATCTAAAGAACAATGAGGAAGATTTAAATAAATTCTGTCAATTTCTTCTTCAGTCTCTGCAGCATAAATCCGGCAGTCACTTAAGTAGATTTATCAGACAAAAGTTTAAAGGGTACCATTGTGAATTTGACATGCAATTGTTTAAATGGAGGCTGTAGTGCCACTTGAAATTATTACGACAACCCCTTTAAAAATAGAAACATTAACAATAAAAAAATATCGAGTAATCGTTGTCCTTTCCCCCATTCCACCAAGGAAAGAAAACTCCCTTTCAACACTTTAAACAATTCAAGAAAACTCCCTTTCAACACTTTTAGCATTTAAAACCATAAGGAATACTCCATTTAAAAACTTTAAGAATACAATCTCTTTTAACATTTTAAGCATACAATTTCTTTAAAAGCATTTAAGAAAACATTCCAGTTAAACATTTAAAGAATTCTATCCCTTTAAACACTTTAAGCATACAATACAATACAATAACTAACCTTGTTATGCTCTGAAGCCTCTGCACGAAGTTTCTTCTGACCAAGAATCCTGATCAAAAGGAAATAAGACTTTTTGGGCTTCATAGAAACATTAAATCTATTGTTTTNCAAAAATGAATTATATATATCTCAGATGAGATTTTGGTATTATCTTTTAACTGTAAATGTTATGATTTATATATTCAAATCAATTCAAATCACAGGGGGTAGGAATGAAATTAGACTCCATGTAGGTTCAGGGCTCATTTTCAATAGATTGAATAAAGACGACTTTTATCTGGTAATGAGTAAATGTCTATAATAAGGATAAAAGGCTAAAAAATGATAAAAAATGTTCTCATCTCATTCCTGGGGCAAAGTGATCCAAACAGTTGCAATCCTGCATTCCTGACACTCCAGTTCATACTGGTAAAACTAAAACATATGAGGAATAAGTGAACGAAGCCGATTTTAAGAATGCCAAAGCATATCAGCATGATTTTTAAAGAAATAAAACTGTAGATAAGCAAGTCTGCATGCTTTGTTGAATATATAAACCTCTCAGCATGCTTTGTTGAATAACTAAATCTGTCTAACCGTGTTTGCATGATAGGTTGAAGAATATTAGACCTGTCAATGCATGTCTGCATGCTCTGAACAAAAGAAATAAATCTGTCTCAGCAGTTGAAGTATTCTAGACATGTCTAAGCATGCCTGCATGACAAGTTAAAGAATAAACCTGGCTAAGCATGCCTGCATGACAAGTTAAAGAATAAACCTGGCTAAGCATGCCTGCATGCTCTGTATAAAGAATTTAACCTGTCTAAGCATGTTTGCAGGCTCTGTATAAAGAATTAAACCTGTCTCAGCATCCTGCAGGCTCTGCATAAAGAATTAAACCTGTCTAAGCATGCCTTCATGCTTTGTATAAAAAACGGTCTAAGCATGTCTGCATGCTCTGTTTAAAGAATTAAACCTGTCTAAGCATGTCTGCGTGCTCGGTATAAAGAATTAAACCTGCCTAAGCATGTCTGCATGCTCTGTATAAAGAATTAAACCTGTCTCAGCATGTCTGCGTGCTCGATATAAAGAATTAAACCTGTCTAAGCATGTCTGCAGGCTCTATATAAATAATTAAACCTGTCTAAGCATGTCTGCGTGCTCGGTATAAATAATTAAACCTGTCTAAGCATGTCTGCATGCTCTGTATAAAAAAACTGTCTAAGCATGTCTGCGTGCTCGGTATAAATAATTAAACCTGGCTAAGCATGCCTGCATGCTCTGTATAAAAAAACTGTCTAAGCATGTCTGCGTGCTCGGTATAAATAATTAAACCTGTCTAAGCATGTCTGCATGCTCTGTATATAAACCTGTCTAAGCATGTTTGCATGATAGGTTGAATATGAGGACCAAGGCATCTTGCTACATTAGCATCCTGGACTACTCCGCGCAGTATATGAAGGGCCTGTCCTAAAAGTTATTATTTTTGTTAAATATTTATCTGTAAGAACCTCTCAACGCATCTTACCTAATTTGAACCTCAATTTCTATGCAAAATACTAATAGCAAAGGTACACTTAAAACCATTAACAAGTATCGATGGTAGAGAAATTTCTTTCTGTGGCTCTTTTATGATAGGGGTCATGGATTTTAATGGCAATTATAGGATTAGGATTAATTTGAGTTTTAAGCTGATTGTTTTATGTATGTTATCTATGGAATATTTGACTAAAGAATGGATTTCACCTAATTAGCATTTAAAAAGGAATTATTTATCTCAGATGAGATTTTGCTATTACTCGGTTTACGGAATGAGATTTTGCTATTACTCGGTTTACGGAATTTACAAAAATGAATTATATATATCTCAGATGAGATTTTGCTATTACTTGGTTTACGGAATTTACAAAAATGAATTATGTATATCTCAGATGAGATTTTGCTATTACTTGGTTTACGGAATTTACAAAAATGAATTATATATATCTCAGATGAGATTTTGATATTACTCGGTTTACGGAATTTACAAAAATGACTTATATATATCTCAGATGAGATTTTGCTATACTTGGCTTACGGAATTTACAAAAATAAATTATATATATCTCAGATGAGATTTTGGTATTACTCGGTTAACGGAATTTACAAAAATAAATTATATATATCTCAGATGAGATTTTGATATTGCTCGGTTAACGGAATTTACAAAAATGAAATATATATATCTCAGATGAGATTTTGCTAATACTTGGTTTACGAAATTTACGAAAACTTTCACTATTAAAAAAGAACCTGCTGTAGAATCGTTAATCTCGTTGTCTTCCATTGAAGATGAGAGATTTATCAGATTATCTACAACATACTTCAGCAATTTCCTATAAACAAAACAAAAACTCTTAAAAATAAAATAAATTAACAATTCGATACGGTAAACCAACCCCCTGAATATTGTAAAAGTATTGTTAATTGAAACGATTTACAAAGTGTGCAAAACTGGTAAACAAGAAGTCAGCCAACTTGGTATCTTTTAACTCTTAGCCTTAATAGATGCTACCTCAGCTTCCACTCAATAGATTTACCATTGTTAGATGCTACATTAACTCTTAGCCTTAATAGATGCTACCTCAGCTTCCACTTAATAGATTTACCATTGTTAGATGCTGCTTTAACTTCCATTGTAAAACTAACCTATTGTTAGATGCTACTTCAGCTTCCAATTAATAGATTTACCATTGTTAGATGCTACTTCAGCTTTCACTTAATAGATTTACCGTTGTTAGATGCTGCTTTAACTCTTAGCCTTAATAGATGCTACTTCAGCTTCCACTTAAAAGATTTACCATTGTTAGATGCTGCTTTAACTTCCATTGTAAAACTAATCTATTGTTAGATGCTACTTCAGCTTCCACTTAATAGATTTACCATTGTTAGATGCTACTTCAGCTTTCACTTAATAGATTTACCATTGTTAGATGCTACTTTAACTTCCATTGTAAAACTAATCTATTGTTAGATGCTACTTCAGCTTCCGCTTAATAGCTTTACCATTGTTAGATGCTGCTTTAACTTCCATTGTAAAACTAACCTATTGTTAGACGCTATCTCAGCTTCCATTTTATAGATTTACCGTTTTTAGATGCTGCTTTAACTTCCATTGTAAAACTAACCTATTGTTAGATGCTATCTCAGCTTCCATTTTATAGATTCACTGTTGTTAGATGCTGCTTTAACTGCCACTGTAAAGCTTACATGTTGTTAGATGCTGCTTTAGCTGCCATTTTAAAGCTTACCTGTTGTTAGATGCTGCTTCAGCTGCAACTATATAGCTTACCCGTTGTTTGTTGCTGCTACAGCTGCCACTATATAGCTTACCCGTTGTTAGTTGCTGCTTCAGCTGCAACTATAGAGCTTACTCGTTGATAGTTGCTGCTTCAGCTGCCACTATAGATTACCTGTTATTTATTGCTGATTCAGCTGCAACTATATAGCTTGCCATTGTTAAATGCTCTTTTAGCTGCAACTATATAGCTTAATCGTTCGTAGTTGCTGCTTCAGCTGCCACTATATAACTTACTCATTGTTAGTTACTTCTTCAGCTTACACTATTTAGCTTACCCGTTGTTAGTTGCAGATTCAGCTGCCACTACAGCTTGAACAAGGCCAGGTAAACCAGCTGACCGACGGGTTACAGAGGAACCAGATCCGGTGCTGATATGATCAAATACTCTCTAGGAAAAAAAATCTAATAATATTAAGTATCCTAAAGATTGCAAAAGCAATTATGAGGCTTACCTGGAGGATTGTGTTAGGAATATTTGAATAGGCCGGTTCACTGGAGGGAACTAGCTTAGAGGCTAGAATACCAAAAGCCTCCACTGTGCCCTCCAATGCTCCTGGTTAATATGATAACAAATAAAAATTGGTAAAATTATATTTTCAATTTTCAATTCTCATCATTACCTTTATGACGACAAACCATGAGAATTCTCAACAAAAGGTCTGCACATCTAAACAGATAGTCATCATGAATGATATTTTCATGATAAATGATATGTCCTCTCTAAATCGTACTGAATTTGAATCCTCTCTAAAACGTACTGAATTTGAAATGTCCAGTTTATGAAATATCCTGGCCATGAAATGTCCTACCAATAAAACGTTCTTTAGAATGAAATGTCGTGTCCATGAAAGTCTAGTTTATAAAATGTCCTGTCTAAAAATGTCATATCTATGAAATGACCTGTCGATAAAATATCCTGTCATCACATTGTTCTGACTATCAAATGTCCTACCAATGAAATGTCTTACTAATGAGTTATCTGTCCATGAAATGTCCTACCAATGAACTGTTCTACAAATGAAATGTCCTACCAATGATTTTTCCTGCCAATTACAATTCTTACCAATGAATTATCTGTCCATGAAATGTCCCAAATACCTGTTTACAAAGTCCACTGATAAGGCAGGGGAGTTGGACTGGGGCTCCTGATGAAGCGGGGAGTAGTATACCAATCCACCAGCTAGTTTAGCACACACCTGGTATCATTATCATCATAATCATAATTATCATCATTATCATCATTATCATCATTATCATCATTATCATCATTATCATCATTATCATCATTATCATCATTTTCATCATTTTCATCATTTTCATCATTTTCATCATTTTCATCATTTTCATCATTTTCATCATTTTCATCATTTTCATCATTTTCATCATTTTCATCATTTTCATCATTTTCATCATTTTCATCATTTTCATCATTTTCATCATTTTCATCATTTTCATCATTTTCATCATTTTCATCATTTTCATCATTTTCATCATTTTCATCATTTTCATCATTTTCATCATTTTCATCATTTTCATCATTTTCATCATTTTCATCATTTTCATCATTTTCATCATTTTCATCATTTTCATCATTTTCATCATTTTCATCACTGTCATCATTATCATCATTATCATTGTAGTATTTAAAGCATGGTGTAATATTTAGAAGAATGACCCAATGCAAAAACCCTCACCCCTTTGTATAACTCTAAGATATTAGAGAACATGGAGAATAGGATCAGTACACTCCAGGATCTTATACAGGATAGACGCTTGAGCCTTAGCTCCCGTTTATCCCATTCAATGCCTGGGGATTTGTACTTTATTGACAGTTCTCAGTATGATATATCTTACAAGGACAACCAGAGGTTGGACAGCCTCATTTTCATCATCTACTCCAGATACTTGCAACCAGAGTATCAGAGACTCTTCCGAGCTACAGCTAGTACAACTACTCTAGCTACTCGCAACCAGAGTAACAGAGATTCTTCCAAGCTACAGCTAGTTCAACTACTCTAGCTACTTGCAACCAGAGTATCAAAGACTCTTCTGATCTACAGCTAGTTCAACTTGAGCTGGGCCTAATTAGAGTTCCACTGGAGATATAGAGCAAATAATAAAACTAAGACGATGAGGTTCTACTCCAGTCCAGCTAGTTTAACTACTCTCGTTCCTGCCTGTCTGGACTACTCGCGAGAATGTATCAGAAGACTAGGATGTCATAGACTTATCTCATACTCTGGGCACAGTGTGGATAACTTGGACACATCTCAGCTAGTAGGAGCATCTCAGATGGTAGGAGCATCTCCGCAACCAGAGTATCAGGGATTCAAGGAGCATCTCCAGTAATATACAGCTAACATAACAGAGACTCAAGGAGCAGCTAAATTTGAGATAAATTAGAAGCAGCTACAGTATCATCCAGGATTACAGTATAGGAGATACTGAACTGGAGCTGCTGAACAAGATATCTAGTTGAGGGAGCTGCCTAGTTAGATGCTGAACAGGAGTTGAAGGAGCTGCTTAATTACACCAGAGAATTATGAATATCTGACTAAGATGTAATAAGATAGAAATAAAATTTAACAGATGTATTTATACCAATAAAGATAAGCTGATAAATCTCATTCATTTATACTCTGAGAGATATATATTAAACTTTATGAATAACTAGAATTGGGTAGTTTATGAAACTGGTACTGGGATCGAAAGTGAAGCCTTTGCATTAACCCTTAACAGAGGAGGGGCAAATGGTTGACCTTGATATCCTTAGGATTTATGTCTAGAATTTGAATGATTTAAAGAGTTTATTCATTACATCATTAATACCAACATTATCAACATTATCAACATTACCATCATTACCAACATTATCATCATTATTTCCATTATCACCAATCACCATTATCATTATCATTATCATTATCATTATTGTCATCCTTATTATCATCAGTATCAATATCTTTGTTCATGTCAGCGTTATTATCCGCATTATTATTAGTATTATTATCAGTATTATTATCTATATAAAAACGCTTTTCGCTCATATATATAAATGTATTTATGTCCATGTTAGCTAACCAAACGGCTGGACCCCCCATAATGGCTAACATTTTTTTTATGGAACCTAGTGGTATCCTGGGAAAACAAAGGCTGTAAAAAAAATTTCTTTACAATTTATTTTTTTTTAATTCACGGGCAACGCCGGGCATTTTAGCTAGTAATTATCATAAAAATCGGAATGCAAATTGTCTGATTTAAATCTTTAGACCAGAACCTTGATATGGATTTTGAAATTTGTACCAGTTGAACTCAGGTCCAATGAGAATACCTTAATATTGTGCCAAACTGCTGAAAGAAGAAGCTGCTCTGACTCTACAGCTTTTGCACCATCTAATCCTGAATGCAGTTTTTTAACAAAAACATCAAAACCTCTTTTGTAATTGATAATGAATAAGAGAAAAAAATATTTTATGCCCCCCCCCATTCCATGCTAATGCCATTCTATTAACGTATAATGAATTAGATGAATTTAATAAAATAAATAAAAAATATATATGTTAGAGTAAAACATAAATTATTTGTTGATGGATTAATTTTTATCATTAATTTTCAGTTCTTCTTAATTCATTATCCATATTTTGTTTTTTCATTATTTATTTATAATTCGTTTATTCAGTTTTCTTTTAAAATTAGTTTATCTTTCTGCTGCATGATACTACTAAATGAACAAGTTTAATAACCAATGAAAAACGAACAAATTAATAATGAATGATACAAATGAATCCATCAACCAACCTGACTGCTGTATGATACTAATAATAGAACAGGCTGTATCGTGAAAAGACGGATTCTGAATTACTTCCGCATCTCCACTAAAAAAATGTTCAGGGTGTTCCAATAAACATGGGAATTCAGTGACGAATTCGATATCGTCTTTTTAAATAATTCTTTAATTTAGTATAGCGATACCTACTCACTATTGAGAAAGCTGTAATCAGTAAGAGTTTCGTCTGCCATGTTCACATTTTGTTTGTTTATGTTTTGACTGCATACGGTTGTACTTAGTAAAACAAGAAAATTGCATTATATAACGGAGTAAACTTGTCCGTTTTCACTGTTCATCTTGCGCAGACATTATAGACACATCTTTACAGTCTTTTTTATATAATAAACTCTAGCAGACAATAATAATATGGCTTTTGCTAATGCTAATTCATAACAAAGACGATATCCAATTCGTCAATGAATTCCCATGTTTTTGAGACACCCTGTATCTTTTGTCTTATTTCTGATGTCTTCTCATAATTGACAGGGGCAGTAGCAAGTTCAAGTGATCCTTGTCCCTCCACTGGCATGTCTGATTCACAACTGTTCCCTTAACAGCTGTGTATGATCACAAATTAACGAGGTATCCATGATTTAAAAATTGATTGTGTTCAATTGTGGTCAAGACTTACGGATTTATGCTACAGAGACAATGGAAGAAATTAAAATGGCGACACCTTCCATATCATTGATGATATGGTGGAAAGGGTACTGTTCTGAATCAAGCATGCCACTTTTTTTCTAAATGTAACTTTAAATAACAACGGTAGTTCTTTCAATTTAAGTAATCAGGGGTGTATATTTTCAAGAATTAACCCCCCCCCCAGCATAATGATTATGGATGTCCTGGGAAAAAAATTATAAATTAACATCAAAAGATATGTTTTTACATTTTTTGATATGTTCGCCCTAAAAATTCATTTTCCATCCTAAAAATAATTGTTTCTCATTCAGCCAATAAAACCTTGAAAAATTGGAAGAAAAAATTATTTTCAAAAGGGGGTGGGGCGGGGAGTGATTTTTCTAAAAATTGTTCCCCCCTAAATGGAATATTTGTACAGAGAGTATAGTATTAAATGAAACTGCTACATTAGAGGCTTTCATGAATTCATTGTTAGAAAATGATTCATGAAAGTTATGAATAAAATTAATTTAATTTAAAATTAATTTAAAGAAAGAATCAGAAATGTTTTAAATTAATTAAATTTTTTATTTTTTTATTTTTTAAAGATGAAAAAACCCCCCTGAAAGCTATTTTTGGAAATCAAATTCTCAACAATTTTCTTTGAACAAAGAACAAGAGTATTATTTTAAGACAAATGCTGAGTGTTTAACCCATAGAAAGTAAATCCATTCTCAACTAAATTATTCATTTTTAAAATAAGACGTCCGTACTATTCTCTTTTCATTTTTATTAATAGGACACGATGCTTTGACTGTAGGTTGAATGAAAATAATTATAAGAATAATTATAGTAATAAAAATAATATAGTTCTGTAGAGGCAGAGAATTTTCCAAAGAATTTTTTAAATTATTACAGGCCTTCTATAATCTTTACATACTCTGCTTGTCTACTTGTTTGTCTGTTTCCAATAAACGACTAAACTGCTAAACTGATTGGACCCAAAGTTTTGTAGCAACTAACATGATCGCAGAAAAGGTTTGTGGAGGGGCCGTAAAAATTGAAAAATTTGGCCTGGAAGAATGTTGACTTTTATTATTTTCAAAATTGCATCAATTTAAACAGATGATATTCTATATTCTTTGTTCCTTAGAACTTTTAAGGTTTTCTTATACTTTGCCAACTCAATTAAGATATTGTAGACGTAATTTAAAGTAACACTATTTTAATAGTAATATGTCCAACTCACAACGGTGTTCTTTAAAGCTAGAAAACAACGATATCTTCTATTATCTTTATCAGATAAAGATTAAAGAGTACCGCTGTTAATCGGACATGCCCCTTTAAGTTACCCAAGAATACTGAGCATCTTCTTTGTGGACTTCTCCAGAGCTGTCAGCAGTCTTTCTACTCAAATCAAATCAAATCAAATCAAATCAAATCAAATCAAATCAAATCAAATCAAATCAAATCAAATCAAATCAAATCAAATCAAATCAAATCAAATCAAATCAAATCAAATCAATTCAAACAAAACCAAATCAAATCAAATCATATCAGTCTTAAATTAACTTTTCTAACTCAAAATCTTTAGCAAATTAGAAAGAAATTTTACGACATAAAATTCTCTTTCATATAATTTTAAAGTAAGATATTAAAAAAAAATCATTTTTTTATAATATATTATTCGTGAAATATATTTTTCAAAGATCCAATTTATTTCCTAGTTGATGGTGATTAAACTTCAGTCGTACAAGAGAATCCTTGTCAAGCAACAACCCCTTCAATCCTTAAAATAAAGTTTTTCACTAAACCATCTTCAATTCAGAAATCTACCATTTGTCATCTTGAAAATCCGCCGGTAGTGATTATCACTGTTCAAGCTAATTCAACCATCTTCAGTTTGTTAATCCATCTTCAGTTTGTTAATGGTTAAAATGTTACCATTGTAATCCTTTATCTAAAGAACAGTAACGGTAACAACGTTTCCTTTTTGAAATGATTTTTTTTCGTTTTTTTTCTGTTTCTTTAAGACCTGAAAGAGTCCCATGCATTGGATCTTCCAGAACAACCGCTAGAAAATCAGTCTCAATCTTAACCAGCATCGTCTCGTACTTAGCCAATAGCATCTCACACAGTTGATTTCCTCTGCTCTCATTGGTTGGTGCAGATTCCGAGCTCTCATTGGATAGTGTAGATTCTGAGCTTTGATTGGCTGGAGCATCATCCTTAGACCAATAGCAGTACAGTTTGAGAAGCGTGCATCCACTCTCATACCCACAATCCTTGGGACTCTTCAGTAACATCAACGCTCTAAACAAAATTTAATTTTACTAGGCTTTTTCGCGCCCATCTTCTATGTAAATTGTGAACATGTTCTCTTTTTTTGCATTTAAAACAAAGAAGAAGAAAATTTCGCGGATTTTTAAAAAAAATTCGCGGATTTTCAAGAATTTAATTTTTTTTACAAAATTAAAAACCTTTAAAACACATTTTTTTAATTTTTATCATTCGTAAACCTTCCTGTGGTCATGTGTTGTCCCACAAAAAATTTGGGCCCGATCGGTTCAGCCGTTCTGACGTTTATTGGATACAAACAAACAGACAGACAAGCCAAATTTATATATAGGTTAAATTATAACTCGAGACAACTTATCATAAATCTTTAAATTTTTCTTGAAGGTTTACCAGTGCTTAGGATCCAAATCCGGATTTGTTGGATCTGCAAATTTTGGCATCCTGTGTCCGGATCATAAAAAATATGCAGATCCACGGATCCGACTGCCTGGGTCAAAAATATCAACTAAAACCAAAATTTTGCACAAATCACAGCACAAATCAAATTTTGCACAAAGCACAAATCAAATATTTGAAAAAATGAATTTTTAAAAAAATCCGTAAATCTTCAAGAAATGTTCAGGACCTGGATCCAAATCCAATTTATCCAAGGGGATCCAGGATCCGAATGTGCATCAAAATGAAAAGGATTTTACCTTGCATAAACATTCTGTAGTATGCCTGGACTAGGAGTGAAAAGTTTAAGTATATTTCCACTCAGTTCTCTTACATCTCCCATTCTATCCTCAACATTTAACAGAACCACCTTCATACAATCCATTGCACAATTGATTATTAATTTCTATCCAAACTTTGAAATATATTGCATGCTTAAAAATTTCATACTTTTTACAGTTAAATTGTGCAAAATTGGTTCCTGAAAAACCCGATTGTTCAAGAATACGAGTAGATCATTAGAGTGTGCAAACTGTATAAAATTAGCAGGGTCGCCATTACCAGAACATTTGTTAGCACCTAGAAATAAATCTAGAATGGATCATGGCTGAGAACTGTTAATTGGCGGAGTGAGCCTTGTAGCATGGGACTTTTAAAGGGAGTGACCGGCTATGTAAGGTAGTTGAACTGAGTATGCAGTGTTGTGGAAAACTTCTTTCGGATTCATTTGAAACATATTTCACTTTTTAAAGATCATTAAATCCTGAGTTAGAGCGCAAAATCGACGTTCAAAACTCCTACTTTGGATAAGTTTTCAGAATTAGTTTTTTTTTAAATTATTAAATAACGACAACGAAAAAAAAAGTAAAAATTATACAGTAATCTAATTAGATGGTTAGGAACATATTTCTCAAAAGAAATTTGTTAATAAATCAAATGTCGTCTTTTCAACTGCATACTCAGTTCAACTACCTTACATAGCCGGTCACTGCCTTTTACAATATTTCTAATAAGGTTTGAAGGGGAAGTTACTTTCCGATCATATAGCGATCCCTGATTGGTCAAATCAGTGATCTTTTTATCACCCCATCAGGTATTTTCCAGTTGTGTGTTTATATATTTTAAAAATTATTTCCCTGCCGTTTAAAAAAAATCATTTTATTTATTTATCATGTTTATAGGCTAAATTGGGGAAAACAAATGATTTTAGAAGCAAATTATATAAATTTTTGGGCCAGAAGTATGAATAAGTATAAAAAAGTATTAAAAAAAACTTGCCTTTTAAGTTTTAATGTCTAATTTCATTTTTACACCCATTTTTTCATTGTCCCCTTTCCCTAAGGGGAGGGGGATATTTCTTAAAAATAACCCCCCCCCATATGCATGGTAGTGTACACAAGAAGTTGTAATGACACTACAATTTAATTTAAATTTCTGAACAGCTTACCAGAGTTGGAGAAGTTAACAAAGTTATCAATGAAGATATTGAGGAAGTGAAGAGAGAGAATCTTCCTCTGATAATTCCCACCAGGATACAGATTATCAACAAGAAGTTTCATCAGCTATAATAATAAATAAATAAAACAGTCACTCTTTAATTCGAGGAGAGTTTACGGAGTAGCCCATGTCACCGCACTACCTCAAAGGGAAGTACCAGAATGTCAATTGTGATTGGCCACACTGGACCAAAGTGTGAACCACCAAGCATGGGTCAAGTTCAATGGCGTACTGCCGCCAACCCGCTGCACACTGACAAAGGTTATGTCAGTATCCCCATAAAAATGTAAAAAAAATTTAAAAAGCGGAGTGAACAAAGTCCTTTCTCTTTCTTTTGATAAGAAATAAGGATATAAATTTTATAATTTATCAATTTAATATATCCGTAGATAAATAAATAAACATAGATAGCTTATGTACGCAAAATCACTAAGAATTGTACAGTCCGCGAACTCATACTTCTAGGGGTCAAAGTGTTCTTCAATGATAAGCGGGGTGGTTTGGTGTTTTAATGGATTTCATAATTATTAAACCATGCTCAGGAGTGAATTTTATTTTGAGAATATCAAATTATTTCACTGAGCAATATATTACATTGACGAGAAGTGAAGAAGGACATGAGAAGGACTAAACTAACTTAAATTTCTTTTTACAGAACTCATGTACACCACAAGTACTCAATGACATAAGAGCAGCCAATGTTCACTACCGACCTATATAATAGGAATATCTTTAAAACATCTCTGTACATTTATATCTATCAAGATGAAAATGTCGTCTTATGCGATCTATCTTTATCTATGAATATATCTTAGTAAAAATGTCCAAGGGCACAATTGAACACATCAAATCAAATCAGGCTTTTAGGGAAGTCCTACTTTCCATGATTCAATCTCCAGATGACATTACTAAATCCAGAGTGAAAACAAAATTCTTTGAAGCATTTATTTTTAAAAGATTAAATAAATATGACAATCATTGTGATTTATATTTTTTTAACTAACTGATCTGACAAAAATACTAAACAATAAGGAATTCCTATTGTAATACAATCCCATTTCACCCATAGTAATTACACAATCTTATCTCCAGAAAAAATTGTTTTCTAAGTAAAAATTTTTTTTTAAAAATTGCAAAAAGCACCAAAAATAGTTATAAAATCGCTGATTTGGGGAAATAACTGATTTTTAAGAAAATAACTGAATTTCTGGGTATAAGTATTACAGAGTGGGAAAAGCTTGCCATTTTTTATTCCCCTGCTTACCTTGTCCAGAAACTGAACCATTTCAATCAGAGCTGGAGAATGAGATCCTCCCTTGACATCTTTTCTAAGCTGTTGAGAGCTAAAGTCCCTGCACCGAATCATCAACAGACTGAAGGCACTCAAGACACACTACACCACCCTCCTTTGTTTACCTTGAATTCTAATAAAATGACAGTGTACTTAACTTTTGTAAGGAAAACAAATCTACATTTGCTTGGTCGCATTTTTAGTAAAAACTTTAAAAAGATAGAGGTTGGCCATTTTGACTCAGCTAGCTGAAACTTTTAATTTTCAGAGATATCTAACAAAATTTGTGGGGATAAGCACAATATGGCATAGACTTAAAGAAGACTTTGTTATGCTTTAGGTTAGTTCGACAACTAGAGATATAAAAAAGATGTTTAGTTAAAAAATGACAGATAAGCACTTTTTTAAGGTATTAAAAATCAATTTTGATCTTAACTTAACTTGTTGGCACATTGAAAAAATATAGTTAGATTTAGGTAAATAAAGACTGGCTTTCCTGTCGGAATTTTGGAGAATCATCAGTAATGCTTTGGCTGAAGAAAGCTAGAAGACTGTTCATTTCTGTAGCACTGGGAGGAGTCCCACGTTTTTTAGTTTCACATACAAGTGAAAATGAAGCTGCTCTTACATCAGGGCTTGGATGAACCAAACCAGCATTTAAATGACACTCTTGTTCCTTATCAAGAGTTTCTATGCTTCCAAGCTTCTTGGATATCTTTAAGATATCCAACTGAACAAGAACAAATGCCTGAAAGGAATCAGCCAGCTCTTTAAGATACTTATTAAGCATTTTGGAAGCGTTTGGAATTATTTTTAATGTCGCAGGCAACCAGTGATCCCTATTAACAAACTTTAATCACATTCATTTTTGGAGAAAAGGATTTAATAATAGCATAAAGTAGTTGAGGCTGAAGTGGAACCCGACATGGAACCCCCAGACCGCCTTCAGGGTGCAGTAGATCAATATTTAGCATACAGCCTGGCTTAGTCCAGACAAACTCAAAATTTAAAAAGCATGTGAATTTGTGGTGATTTTGAGGTGCATCTTGGTGAACCGGCAGTGCACAATAGAAGTGGTTCAACTATTTCTATCTTCACTTGTCATGAAATCTGAGAATAATTGGCATAAATAGCTGATTATTATTTATAGATTGATTAAAGTTTCCTAGCATTTTGTCTAGTTATCTGGTCGGACGAGATAAGTGAGTCTGCAAGAACCTTGGCAAAATTCTGCTCCCACAACTCTTCATTACTTAGGAATATTTTGTACACATCTGCACCTGGGTAAATCAAGAACTAGTTAATATCAAACCTTCCACCATCATAATTAGTGAAATTTGGCTATGTAAAAATTACAATGTTTTTGGTGTTCACAATCATAACTTAAGAGTCCAAAAACTGATTCTTATTCCACAGTCGTGTCCCTGTACATAACTAATTGATGTGATATTAATAATTGTAATAGTTCATTTTTTCTTCTCAAAATAACTTATTGTGCGTATGAAGAGTATACATGAGCACTGAGCAGAGTACTATATAAACCTTTTGAACCTAACCTCAACTGAACTAGGCTAACCTGCATGTGTGAGATGATTTGATCTTAACGAAATAACCAAACCATCTCCAAATTTAGGATATAGTTCAACTGTTTTCTCAACTCCCAGGATCGGAACTAAAACATAAGATTAATCAATCACACATTATTGTGTATCAAATAAATCCAAAAACACCAATAACACGTCAATACGCATGATAACATACTATAACACAAATAACAAACAAACCAATAACAATAACAACATGAAAACAGCAATAACACGTCACGACGCATGATAACATACTATAACACAAATACAAACAAACCAATGACAATAACAACATGAAAAATAGATTGTACAATACATACTAAACATATATAAATCAGAGAAAATTAATTTTTTTAAAAATACCTAGTGCAGATAATTGAAAGTATTTAGCCTTGTTTGACCACTTTGTGTTCATGACAGTTGAAATTAGATCTTTGATAAATCTATTATATTCAGGACCACAAGCCTTCTCCACAACAAACAAAGCATCTCTAAAATAATTAAATACCAACTTAATAGTTACAAGTTAGTGTTTCGTTTTTTATTTATAATTAAGGCCTGATCATATTCTTAAATCCAGTGGATGTCCAACCAAACACCAGCCCATAAAACTATATACAGCTTTATTTGAGGGCATCACTTGCAAAGACCCATTGCGACGAAGTGAGATTTTACCTGTATATATTCTTGCAGAGGTCGGAAACACCTTTGGCTTGGTTCTCAAAGTTTCCTTGACATATTTGGATAATACGGTGGACTAGGCTAGTCGAGATATCAAGTTTATCTGCAGTACCACTCAACATAGACACTTCCTTAGAACAGATCAATGGTGATTGTGTTAAAAGATTGAGTGAAATTAATCCTTTTACTTATTTATCCAAGTTAAATTATATTAAATTAAGTATTAATCATTGAAAAGATCCCCAATGTGGAATCCCCCGTCTGATAATAGGACGGACAATGCCTAATATCCGTTCAATCTGGGACTCTGGTATTTCGCCTTTTCAAAGAAATTTTTCCCAGGGTAGATAAGCCTGTGTCCGAATTTAATGAATTTAAGCCGCATCTCAAATCCCCCAAAAATCAGTTTCAATTGAGCACCGGCTTAAATCTTGAAAAATTAAATAAAATTTTAAGTGGAACCAACCATATTTTAGCCGCAGCTTAAATTTAAGCCGCGGTCCAAATTCTTTAAATTCGGCCTCAGTATCTTGAAAACAAGTATAACTGGCAGAAATAGCAAATTATTGATCTGATTCTTCCCTTAGCAGCTGTGCTCCAAAGACCAAGGAGGCTGAAGTTCTGATAAGTAAGACTAGAAGTTGAATAGCAGAGTTTAAGAATACTCTCCAAATGTGAAAACAGAAGATTGTTCACAAGCTCCATGTCTAGAGGCATTGTATCCACATCTTCACAGGAGGTTTCTTTGGAAAGAAAGAGCTCTTTCTTCCCAACACTGAAGAGTCCAGTTAGAATACACATAGTGCTAAACTCCTAAGAATCCAACATATAAACTTTTAGTTTCTTGGCAGGGCCAGGGGGCTATGAAGGCCCAACCTAGAAAAGTGGTGACTGTGGTTTCCAAAAGGGCTTTAGCCCTTTCCGGTTTACACTCGGACAACTCCTGGGGACAACCCCTGTAGCAGGGGCAAATCTCACTTTAGTGGAAAAATATTATTTTAAGTTTTTTATTCAAAAAATCCTAAAAATGTCCTCAAAATGTTTCAACTTGATTTCAAATAATTTTGCAATTGCACTTTTATATGAAGGTTGCCTTTGAATTACTGATGAGAATCTTTTTGAGCTCATCTGCAAACATTTCTCTTGAGATAATCTTCAGCATTACAAGTATAACTGCGTTTCCACTAAAAAAATTTAAAGTTTTTTTTCTAATGACCATCCACCCCCCCCCTGCACCCACACCAATTATATGATTTAAATCGTAACTTTGAAGACATAGAATGGGTAATGTAACATTAAAGTAATGAAAGTCTAATAGAAAAAATTCACCGAAAACAAAATAAGAAAAAACTTTTTTTTGCTTACCAGAGAAGTCCAGTTTCTGACTTGATTCTCTCACTATTCATGATAGTTAGTAGATGGGTCACAAATCTCGAGGATTCAGACTCATGGATTTCAGCAGTGTCAGTATGCATCAATCCTTTCATAAACAAAATTATTTATAACACAGTGATATAGCATTCTTGGACACAAATCTTGAGGATTGAGACTCATGGATGTCAGCAGTGTCAGTATGCATCAATCCTTTCATAAACAAAATTATTTATAACACAGTGATATAGCATTCTTGGACACAAATCTTGAGGATTGAGACTCATGGATGTCAGCAGTGTCAGTATGCATCAATCCTTTCATAAAAAAAATTATTTATAACAGTGATATAGCATTCTCGGACACAAATCTCGAGAAGGTCCCTTTTTAGACCATTAATGTCCCTAGTTAGGGAAAAATATATCAAGAAAGGGCAGAACCTTTCGGGTACAGAAAAACTAAAAAGTTTAAGTCAAAAAACTTTACAACACTATCCACAAAAAGTATTAAAAGCTATTAGAAAAAGCAATAAAATGAAAAAATGGTTTCATTTAAAATGAATTCTTTTCTAGAAATTTCCTATTCATTAAAGAAGATCCGGAACCAATTTGTCACAGCAAAGTGCAAATATATACAGCTAACTATGCGATAATTACTATATTGCGCTACTATGCTGCAATAAAAATAAGTACAAGGTATGCATGCATGAAAAATTGGACAATATTGGTGAGGAAAAGATATTGATAAAACTGTTTTTTCTTCCACATAGCTCACCTACAAGCTTTATAACATAGATGCTGCTGGTAGACTCAGGGCTAACACCTTAACGAACCAATTTCAATTTTGATTGTTAACAAGCTATTTTTGAATTGAAAAATTACATGTAACCAAAGAGAAGCTTTTTAATTGGCATATTCTCCTGAATTCTATGTTTATGTGTATCAAAGGTGTTTAACAGCTTGATATAACTCAATATTGAGATCGAAAGTCGTCTTTATTGTATTGATATAATCGCCAACCATTGTAGATGGAAATAAAAAAATAAAAAAATAACACCTCAACTAACAATAATCATATCTCCCAGAAATCAAAAGAGAGACAACATTTTTTTTTAAGAAAATATCCCTTACAAGCAGATTTTTTAATTTTCATACTAACAGTTTTTTTCACTTTTATAATTTATAAAAATAATCATGTTTTTTAATCAAGGGAAGACAATAACAATTCAATTCAATAAAATTAACTCATTAAAGTACCATAGTATGCTTAATTTTTTATATTATATTTAAAAAGGTTTTCCTTTGTTAGCTATAAAGAACTCTGCGCACAAATCAAGGATATCTCTGCTCTTCAATGCAGCATGTGCTTTGAGGGTTCTAGAATTTTCAACGCATGCGCAGAGGATCTTCAGCTTTATCTCCAGGTCATGACCTTGCATGACACCCCTGATGGCCATGCAAATATTTCTTTCTATTTAACAATATTCCATATAGATAAGAACTTTGAGTGAGAATGCTAATCGGCAACGCCTAAAATGTTAAACCAGAAAATAAACTTTTATAAAATAAATAGAATAAAATAAAATAAAATAAAATCAGGCTTTTAGGGAGATCCTACTATCAACGATTCAATCTCGAGATGACTTTACAAAATCAAGAATGAAGCAAGGCCTGTAAACTGTATTTGTGGATTGCTAAGAACATTTTTATTTTTTAATTTATTAAAATCACTTTATGAATGATTCTTTAGTCTTCTACAAATTTTTCCGTCATAGCAGCCACAGCGGACATCCGACATCGTGATTTTCATGTGAAAAAATAAACAATTGATTAGCAGTAGCAGTTTTATGTGAAAAAAAACAATTGATTAGCAGTAGCAGTTTTATGTGAAAAAAACAATTGATTAGCAGTAGCAGTTTTATGTGAAAAAAACAATTGATTAGCAGTAGCAGTTTTATGTGAAAAAAAAACAATTGATTAGCAGTAGCAGTTTTATGTGAAAAAACAATTGATTAGCAGTAGCAGTTTTATGTGAAAAAAAAACAATTGATTAGTAGTAGCAGTTTTATGTGAAAAAAAAACAATTGATTAGCAGTAGCAGTTTTATGTGAAAAAAACAATTGATTAGCAGTAGCAGTTTTATGTGGCTACAAGTACATAATGGTCAGCGCGCTCTTTTTTCAGAAAAACTACCAACTGTCAAAACTTCCCGACTTATGTTAAAGATGCCAACTTTGTAGCAAAACTGGAAACAGAAGAAATTTGATCTGCCATGAAAGGTTGTATTTCTTTTAAGATTATCTTCATGGACAAAGAATGAGGGCTCTAAATTTTTATTTTTTAAAGAAGGTCTGTGATTTTAAACAATTCCTTTATATGAACACTATGATTTTAAAAGCTGAAGATCAAACGGTATAATTGAATCCTTTTAATACTATTCTCAAAAACTTTATTTATTTTTTCCAATTCAGGAAAGAAACCCATTAAGAATCCTGCCAGCGCCACATTAAAGTTTATTAACTCATTGTTTTTGTTTTAAAAAAACTTGTTCTTGAGCTGTCTAAGACCTTTCTTTCTAGTTCTAGTCTCATTCGAAACAGTGCTTAGGATCTATTTCAGTTTGATGCGGATCCAGATCCTAGATCTGCCCTCTGAAAAAAAGGATCCGGATCCAGGTCATCGATCAATTTCTTAAAATTTACCTGGTTTTTTGGCTTAATTTAATGCTGAACTTTTCAGAGTTTTTAGAAATCTCAGGGATTTCAGGGATTTCAGAGATTTCAGAGATTTCAGAGATTTCAGAGATTTCAGAGATTTCAGAGATTTCAAAGATTTCAGAGATTTCAAAGATTTCAGAGATTTCAGAGATTTCAGAGATTTCAGAGATTTCAGGGATTTCAGAGATTTCAGAGATTATGAAAGTGTATAGAGATTATAATGAACAGTAGAGATTTGTGTTTTGAGAGCAAAAAGAGATTTTATTGTAGGTTTTGGTTGGTATTTTGCCCCTTGGATATGTTTAGGGATCCGGGCCCAGGAAGTCAAAAGGATCCGGATCAAACGGATCCGGATCGTACGCACTAATTCGAACATTGTCATCAAAGATAAAAATCTTAATCTTGAATCTGAACGTGGACAACGATGATGTTTGCATGTTCCTTAAATATTCGTCAATGTCGCCGATATTTTGCTGATCCCCTTTCATCCTAGTCTGAGCCTCAAATCCACGAACCCGGCTCGAGAAGGCAGTGTAAGAATCAAACTCATTCAATTCTGAAATCATTTTATCTGAAATTCATGTGAAAATTGTGGAAACCTAAATACATGGTATGTTGAGAATTAATTTGTTTTTACAAAAAAAGTTTTTAACATTCAAAAATATACAAAAATATCAATATTTTGAGACCTGAGAAAAAAATTTATGACAAATCCCGACCACTTTTCTAGGTTAAGTAAGTATTCAATGTCATTATCACAGCCAAATCTTGAAAAATGAGTTTTTAACATTTCAAATGAGATTTACAATGGTTTATATATAAAAGTATATTAATAACAAATATTATGAGAAATTCAATGTGACTGATGCACAATGCATATGAATAGTTCCAATAATTTCAGGTTCAACTAAGCACCAATTGATAAACAGAAAAAAAAGAAATTTAATCTTTTTTAACAAATTTTAAAGCAGCTAACAGTCAAAATTAGGATTTTTTTCTGTAATTTTTTTCGAAAAGCTTCTTATGAATTTGAGTTTTTGCCACAAACTCAAATTTTCCAATTCCTATATCTTTGTAACCTGATGATAGAAACCTTTGGTGGTTCAAACTTAGATATTAGTTAATAGTTTGAAACATTTATTAAGGTCTACGACATTGGGTTGCAAAGATAAATGGTTCAGAAAATCCGAGTTTGTGACAAAGACTCAATTTCTTTATCTCTTGCATTTGTCACAGCTTTAAAGGGTAACATTGCGAATCGGCAACTTTCTAATACTGAAATTTAAGAAAAAAGGATAAATTAAAAACAATAAGATACGGTTTGTAGGATCAAAAATTTAAAGTTTAAATAATAAAAGTTCAAAATAAAAATACTATTTTTAATACAATATCAGTTCACGAGTTGAAATTAAAAAAAACTTATTTCACATAATTTAAGATTGACATTATATAGCTTAAAGAAGAATATATTCTAAAATTAAAACTAGATTAGAAAATTATTTTTTCAAATAAAGCAATGTGTTAAAAAAAAAACAATTCAAATAAAGATCAAAATTTAAAGTTTAAAAAACGTGAAAAAACGGGGGATGAAAAAAATCTTTAAATGTATTATTTAACTTTTGCACTGGGTTTTAAAGTTCAAATTTTCAGTTCTCAGTTAACCTTTGATAAAAAAAAAACATTTAATAGCTAGGTTTAAAAAACCAAACTTGAGATTGATCCGAATCACATAGAACAGTTATTATCTTCTTTTCCTGAAATAATAAAGCATAAAGGGACTGTAAACACAATTTCATGTCACAGTTATAGACAACGTTTATTAACCGTTGCTACAACCAATCGTATTAGGATTAATTTTACGGATTAATTAAGGGACATATAAATTTGCGTTACAGGGGATGACTTATGATATTTTTCAGAGGGGTGGAGGGGAGGGGAAGGTAATAATTTTTAAGTGTTTTTTATCCCCCCCTGGCAACAAAAAAATCCCCCAGGATTTTTTTCCCGGGAATTTATTTTATTTTATGCCAAAACCATGACCAACCGAGGGGGGGGGGGGGTGGAAAATGTGTAAGCAAAATCTTTTGAATCTATTCTAAGAAATCTTAATTTTTCCAGAGAGGGGGACGTCCCCAAAATTTTTCAGGGGTCCCCTCCTCCTCCCCCCTCATAAGACGCAGAATTTCAGTAGATTTGACCATGCATTTTTTTATTTCCTAAAAGTTAAAGTAAAAAATATTTGCGATGAATCTGCGAGAAAAGATGTCTTGTAAACCATGTTTATTGTTTAAAAATGAAAATATTCCCATTATAACAATTATAAATCCTACCCTAGTCCCAAGGCAAAGTCCTGCAGCTTTGCTATAAATCTCACCAGGTTCCCCAACCGTTCTAAAATAAACTTAATTAAAGCTGAAATTTGGCGTTGATGATGCTCTAAACATCAAAGAATAAAAAGACCACTTGAAATTTAATTGAAAGTGCCTTTAACTTATTTCTTTTAACCCTCCACGTTCTGTGAAAAAGAGTTTTACAGTCTGTGCGTCATTTGATAATTATCTATCCCTTTCTTATCCTCTGTATGATCCGACCATGATAAAACGGTCCTAAGTGTTTTCTGAACTAAGTGTTTCCTGAACTAAGTGTTTTCTGACCTAAGTGTTTTCTGATCTAAGTGTTTTCTGAACTAAGTGTTTTCTGATCTAAGTGTTTTCTGACCTACTTGTATTATAATTAGGAGGAGCTAAAGATCTGTAAAATCGCGCTGCGAGTAAAAAATACTTTATATTCATTTCAATAATTACTCGATGGTTAGTTCAGATACCCTTTAGGTCGTTCTTCTCTAGTCCAGTTTGCATAGCATCCTTTCTTTCCATTCATAAAAGCCTGTACAGTGTACTTTCTATACAGACAATGATTTCAGGGATATCTATTAACACAAAATTCCATCTACAAATGAAAATACTCTATTTACATATTGATATCCCAATTTCAGCTTGTTGAAGTTGAAGTAAACCCTTTTTTGTGAGAAATAAAATTTGTTTAAATATAGCTACACCTTTATGGTTGTTAAGTGTGCTGACACATCCATGTTTAAAGAATGCTGACTACTGAGATGTTAAAATCAATTATCAGAATTTATGAATAGATTACAACTTATGAAACACCCACGCATACTAGAAAGTTACATATTCATTTTATGGAAATTACTTTATATTTCAAATAAATGTTTACAGATTAAATTTCTCTATTATAGTACTTATTATAGTACTTACAGTACTTGTTATAGAACTTACTGTACTTATAATAGTACTTACAGTTTTTATTATATTACTACTTACTGTACTTATTATAGTACTTAAAGTGCTTATTATAGTACTTTCAGTACTTATTATAGAACTTAATGTACTTATTATAGTACTTACAATACTTATTATAGTACTTAAAGTGCTTATTATAGTACTTAAAGTACTTATTAAAGTACTACTTATGGTACTTAAAGTACGTGTTACATTGCTTATGGTCCTTATTTTGGTACAATTATTTTATACTTATATAGTACTTATACAAGGAATAGGATTTTGATGTGGAGCCGGTTTTTGAATCCATCCTTTTAAAAATGGATTCGGATCTTAATCCAAAGTTAATTATTTTTTCCAAACGAAAAATTTATAAATTTATTTTTCCTCTCATGCCTGTTTCTTTAACTTAAAAGAGGCTAGTTTTTTGCTTTTAATGCATTATTTAGTATTTAGACAGTTTGTAGTTGAATTAAAAGAAACTTAAATTTTCAAATCAACATATATTTGCAACCTAATGGTGTTTTAAACTTTAACTATCAGAATTTATACTTTAAGAATTTAAATATCTAGCAAAAATAAAGGATCAGAATATAGAGTTTGAGGAAATTAAGTGATTAAGTCCACATCTTATGCAGAAAAATGGATTAATTTAAGAAGAAAACAAGGATTTATCCTAAAATGTAAAATTTTCTACATTGGATATCAAGATCAGTGTTTTAAAGATTAAAGATACTCAACACAAGGTTCCGACCTTAGTTTAGTTTATTTTGTTTTCGAATTTATTTTTAAACTAATTTGTTTTTTTTTCAGGTTCAGTGAATGTATCTGATAAAAGTTTATAGAAAACTTGATAGAACTCACGTCCATTGATTTTAGGTAACGACTAAGGGGGAAGTTTTAAAGGGAGTGACCGGCAATTTATTAGTTTTACAGAAAATGTAGTATTGTGGAGACATTTTTTTGGAATAATTTGAGACATATAAAACTTTTTCCCATGCATATTTGTTCAGCAAAAGAGCAAATTCAATCTTTGAAATCATCTTATTTTGTTCATTTTTTGAGGGGTAATTTTGAGAATCGGTTTCCGAGAATCGGTAAAGAGAGGAGTAAATAGGATCGGCCTGGGCTAAAACCAAAATGGAAGTTAGTTATCACGAAGGGTCAGAAGATGGAAGATAAACTCGTCGTACGTGGCGAATGAAAGGCGGAGAGTCTGTCAGAGAGCTCCAGCTTTCCGCGATTAAATACATTTTTTCCTATACACTGTAGATTTACTCACACCAGTCTCAGGCTTTAGATTTCCTTTTTTTCATATCACTTTTAAATGGTAACAGTATATTTTGAACTCCTTTTATCTTCAAAGAGACTGTAAAAAAATCATAATGAGGAAAGTATTTATCTTTCTTCTATATAAATATCCTATACCCTTTTTTATCTGACATACAGTGTATTGTACCTAAATTTTCTCTTTAGAGAAAGTGTCCCATTTTGCCAAAATCTAGAAATAAATGTTTGAGGCGGATTTAGTCATGATAAAAGAGCTGAAATAATTAACGATATTTAAAAACTGTTTTTGACCATACCTAAATTCTATTTTTTTATAAATAAACTTTGCTCGTCTTTTTGTCTATTTGTATACAATAAACGTCAAAACGGCTGAACCAATCGGTCCCAAATTTGTGTGGGACCTACCATGACCCCAAGGAAGGTTTATAGATTATCAAAATTTCAAAAATTAGCCTCCAACAAATCCACTAAATTTTTGTTTAGAAACGTAAACTTTGTTTGTTATTGTTTAACAATGTACGGTGGTAGGCGATTAGATCAATATAAGGAAGATGAATTTGTATTTTTTCTCGTTGCTTATTATAAAAGAAAGACGACTTTTATATTGCTTTGAAATGACTTTTTAATATTGTAACTATCCTTTTATTTCAAGTGGAACCAGCATAGAGGAGGAGACGTTCTTGCTTTTCATTCAAAAGAAGAAATGTTTTGAATCCATTGGACTTTTTCACAACTTTCAACTACTAGGAATATATGGCTTTAAACTCTATATAACTTTTGTAAATGGTGTCTTTGGAACCTTTTTACACCAGTTAAAAAAAGATTTATAATATTTGCTATTTTTATATTTTTTTTTCATTCGAATCTATACATGGTGTTTTAACCCTATTCCCGCTGGGGGGGGTCAATTTGACCCCCCCCTGTAGTTTTTTTTTACATAACTCAAAAAGTATTGGTCTGAGGCTGTTGAAATTTTCTGACTTTTCTTACATACCCAAAGCCCTCCCTTAAGGCCTAAAACCGGGAGAAAAAATGTCTAATTTAAATATTTTCACTTTATCTGGCCTGACAAACCGCTACTTTGAATTAAATCAATAGATTTTTATTTGTATTAACTGCAAACTAAAATTTTTATATTCTTAAATCTAAATCCTGAATATATATTTATATTAAATTAAATACTGCGCATTACCTAATGTAAAATCTTATATATAAATAGTTCTCTGGAAATCCTCTAAGCTTATGCAAGAAGAAACTTCGCAATAATATCTGGGAATATCTGGGACATCTACGGTGTTAACCATAAGCTCAGTGGTCAAAAAAAAGATTAGAAAATTGGCGGCGTTTTTATTGAAACACAGCGTTGACCGCACGGACAAAGGTGGGAGGTGAGAATGTGTGGGATGGAGGGGGGAGGGGAGTATAAATAGACTGGACAGAATACTTCAATGATCAAATATTAAATATCTTTGAACGTGGAAGCTAGCTTATCATTAGAAAAGGGAAGAAACATGAAGCTCTTGTATGCTGCTCTGGCCATATTGGTAATTATATTTTTAATTAAAATTATTTTCAGTTTTTTTTACCGTAAGTGAAATTTCAAGTGACCCTCCATAACAGATGACAAGGCCTGATTTACAACGGTACTCTTGAAACCTTAATCTGATAAAAAATATCGTTTTCTAGGTTTATCAAAGTTTTACTTACTTTACTTACCGTTATGAATCGGGCTTTGACATCTTTGCATTGATGGTCACTTGAAATTACGCTTACAGTCCCTTTAAACCATAAACTTCTATAAAACAATAAGACAAAATACTCATTTGTTTAACCTATTATAATCACAAAAGCAAGACTAAAGCGTGCCGGACGTTTAAAAAACTAACTTTTACATGAACATTATTATTAAATGATTAATATTATAGTCATATATAACCAATTATTATGTTTCAGGTTTTGCTAGGGTTTGTAACTGCATTTCCAACCCCCGAAGCTGAAGCTTTGGCACATTGGGGAGGGGGTGGTTACGGAGGACACCATGGTGGTGGTTGGGGGGGACATCATGGAGGACACCACGGTGGAGGATGGGGACATCATGGAGGACACCACGGTGGTTGGGGAGGACACCATGGAGGTTACTATGGCTAAGAAATCAGGAGAACTCTTTAAGATGAAATAAATTTATAAATAATTCTGTATCTGCGATACTGGCAACAATTGCCAAAAATAAATGTTTAAAAACTCAGTCTTCTTTTAAATCAAGAAAAAATACCGATTGTTGTACTATGGAGTACTAATTTTCAAAATAGTAACATTATGATGGATAATTTGCAAATAAAATTAACCTACCTTCCACCCCTTAAAGTCCAGTGTTGCGGACCTTCCATTTCGGTACATTTCTGCAGTCTAAATGAAATATGTTTAAAACTACCTATTATACGTTTATGTAAGAGATTGTTTTCAATTCGAGATTGCCTCCTGATTTAGCTGATAATTGGTTAAAAACTAGTGGAAAGTGCACACTCATCGTAATTTTTAGCTTTCTAATTGCACATTTGCAGTATTAATATCCAAAAGCAAAACTTTTTTTTCCAACTTTAATTATGAAACTTTTTTCAATGGACTAATAATAATATTATTAATGTATGATAAAAATTGCTAGAGCAAGCTGTACAGTACAAACATAGACTATATATTACCCTAATTTTTATTCAAAATTAACTAATATTTTTTATTATTGCTTGTTTAAATTTTTTATCTAGAAGGTTCTCGCCTTTTAAGATAATATATGTGCTTTGTACGGGACAAAATATACCTTCTCAATAAACTTTATAGCACTGCCAACCGAATTAATTGTGTTTTAATTAGAATAGTTATTGTAAAATGTCCTGGTTTAAAGGGAGAGACCGGCTAGACATGGTAGTTGAGCAAAAAGTGCAGTATTGTAGAGCAAAACTTTAGGATTCATATGATACCAATGAGACATTTTTACGGTGTACAATTTGTAAATAAGAGCATTCGTATATAATATTTCACCAGTTGTTTCAGTCAGCAAAAGAAAGTTTTTTTTCAATTCTGCAATAACATTGACAATGTAACATGTCATGCTTTAAAGCAAGCGGACAAAATTAGAAAGAAATACCTTGCCCCCTTGCTTGAATCTAGACACAGATATCCTCCAGGAAGTAACTAGGAAAAAAAGATTTAAAAAAAATTAAGTTAGCAATACGTTTATCACAAGCTGTAAGCCTAAAAAACTTAATTTAATGGATTCAGCTTGAAGTGGATTTGTCAGTGGGATGTCCCTAAAACTCTGATTTGATTTGATTTAAACTACATCTTCGTAACCTGATGTCGAATATTTAGAACTATATAAACTGCATAATAGCCTTTCAGGGGGGGCTATGCAGATTACAGCTAAACATGTATCGTTAAATATTGCAATTTGCAAATAAATATGAAAATAAAAAAATTCCAAATTTGTTAAAAAAAATAGAACTTTAAGTGCTTATTTGCTTTGTTTCTTCATGTTTGACACAAATCTTGTTGGTTGACAATGTCGAACAAAAATATTCGCGGAATTCGGTAAATCTTATGATTGATAGGGGGAAAATAATTTTTTTAGGGGGGGGGGGCATAAAAATGAGGGCTTAAGATAACTACAAAAATTTTAAAAATCCCGAATTTTCTTATAAACCATTTTAGACCGTTTAAACCAAGCTAGCAGCATTCCAGTAGATCTACCCAGATCCTCAGTCAAAATTTGAGGCACATTGGATGAATTGGATCGGTTAGGTGGTTCTTGAGTTATGATAAGATATAGAAACAAACAAACCGAGATTACTACTTTATATTTTACTAGCTTGAGAACCCAGAGTTGCCCAAAGTACTCAATACTCATACTTTCTACCGCCATTTAAATTTGAGGCAAATGCGTTAAGGGGTTCCTTAGTTATGATCGGACATACAAACAAACAGAAAACCAGAGATTACAACTTTATTATAGATATTTTACCTCTGATTTACTTGTAGAGAAGAATATTTGATCCCTAGTTCGGAAACAGTTCTTCAAAATCAAATCTGATCCTGAAAATAGATTTTAGTTTTAAATCTTAGATTAGTATAAGTCATGGTACAATAGGGCTGAAAACTATAAAATTTTCAGAAAAAGTTTAAGTGCATTAAAGCCTTTCCAAGAACCCTAAAATCGTGGGAGTGTTTTTAAAACTTAACTTCTTGTAGGGAAAAAATATTGATATTGTTGGAAATAAAAACTATCTCTACACTACAATTATACAAAGGTCTGTTTTTAAAAACTTAACTTCTTGTAGGGAAATAATATTGATATTGTTGGAAATAAAAACTATCTCCACACTACAATTATACAAAGGTCTGTTTTTTTAAAAACGAACCAATTAAATTCAGTTCAAATCACACAACAGAGAAGTTCTATAGACCACAAGGACTTTTTGACGACCTTGTACAGTTTTAGCAAAAACGGATTTATTTTTATAAAGCCTAACCCCCTTGTTATATATTTTAGCTTAAAAAGTAGTCATTCAGAATGCATCCGATGCATATGTTAAATGAAATAATTTTCATTTTTATGAACTAATACATGGTCACTTAAAATTGATAAACGTTTAACAAAATGTATTTTGGAATTCAATTTTTAAAAAGAAGCGTGACGATAAGAAAGTTTTTTTACATATGTTGATGTTTAAAGTATCGTTAGATTTACATGCTTTTAATCATTGTAGAACACTTGAGAAAAGTAAAATGTTTCTCATACTAGTGCTTAAAATCATAACTAGAGGATCTACGAGATTACAAAGTCCTACCAGTAATGTCGCGTAAATGTTCACTAAACAATGTTTACAATTAGGGCTGGGCAAAGTTCCGTTAACGAAATGGAGTTTTTTCAAAATTTACGAAAGAATCCGTTAACGAACGACAAAATGACTTAAAAATGAAATTATCTAACGGGAAAAGTCTATTAAAAAAATTAACGGTTACAAACGAAACGGATGTGTTGTTATTCATAACAATGACTTTCGATCTTTTTCTGCTTAAAATTGCATGAAACTTGCAGAAAATACACGATAATTTTTTAAGTATTTTGATGTTTTTAAACGCCGTCTTCGGATTTTTTTCCCTGGCTTATTTGTTAGTTCCATTTTTGCTAAAATTAGCGTTAAAAAAATTGTTCACGAATAGCTCTAGAAAAAAGCCCAGTCATATTTACAATGCACTTCCTGATGAATTATTTTGTACAAGGAAATTATGTGTTACAGAAAATGGAGCGAAGCCTGGAGCTGCAGGCAAGCCACAACATTTCTTCGTCTGAACCAAAAAACTAAAAAATCGAAAAAACGCTTCGACTAAATAATTTTTTTTTATAAATTTAAAAAATCTTCATAATTTCAAAAGAATAATCTTTTTTGTCGATAATATCGAAAACCAAAGAATATTTCCATGGGAAAAGCGAAAGGCAAATATTTATCTAATTTTTATATCGAAAAAGTTCGTGATTACATTTAAGACGAAATAGATTATTTTTGAGCCCAAAAAAGTTGACAGTATGCTCCAAAGTTTCAAGGTGAAATAGCAAACTTTTTGTATACAACCTAAATAAAGCAAAAACAAATAATTCAATAATGCTAGTGGCTCGGATGAGAAAATTAACAGAATGTGGCTCGGACGAAGAGTTGACGTGGCCGGCCTCCAGCCCTCGTACAGCCAGGAAATTACATTCAAACTTTGAACCCAAGTTAAAACATTCCTCATCACTGAGATTAGAAGAGGAGAGAAACAACTTTGAACTTTTCTTAAATTTTATCCATTTATTTACTTTAGTTCTTTAGTTTACTTAGATGCAACAAGAAACAGTTCTGCTACGAAATTATTTGCTTTTTTAGCACTGTATTAAACCATTTCAATAAACGAACAGGGTGAGTCAGAAAAAAAGTGTTATAAGTGAGGTATTGTGCAATAGCCTTGAACCATTTCCAGATTTCCTACCTTTCCCTTTAACTCCGTGCTGAGGCTGAACACATAGTCCAGATTCTACGTGGATCAGATGAAAGCTCTCAGTAAAATTGTGATGTCGTTGATCCCAAGCTTGAAATGGAATCTGAACAAGCAGAAAACGTGTTTTAAAAAATTGTTTTTCTTCCCATTGCAGCATTTTAAAATACTGCATCTGCATATTCTTGGAGGTTTACCCCTTTAAACATATATACATGCGTTTTTTCCTGTTAAAGAAACTGTTCTAGTATTTTTAAGTGACCCTCTGTTTTAAAAGGAAAATAACGGATTCACTAAGGTACCATTAAAACCTTTATCAGAACAATGATGTTTAAGATAACGTTGTTTTTCTAGATAGAAAAGTGCTTATTACTGACAATTCCTCAAGTCACAAGTCCAAGAAACCACATTAGAAAATACAAGTTTTTAAAGTTACAAACATGGATATTTAATACATGCTTGCTTAGACAAATTTATAAAAAATCTGTTTACCCTCGAATCAAAAATAGGCTACTGAAAATTGTTTTAAAAAGTCCTTTTTTCTTAAATGACCATTAACTTTTAGCTGAATAACTAACTAAACTAATAACTAAAATAAACGAATAAAAGAAAAAAAATGAAAATTCTTTATTGGAAAAAAAGAACAGCAAACCTTAAAGAAATATGCATGACCTGGATCCCGATTTGTACCCAGATCCGAATCCATTTCTTAAAAGGACTGTAAAGGAATAATGAAAGGGGGTATAGGCCGAAACCTAAGCATTTTAGGAGTGAGTAAGAATTCTATCTGTTGTCCCTGTCTCGAGGAATTGACATTGAAAATCTACATATCTAAAATTATGTATAAAAATGGTAGATTTAAATATATTATTTTCAGAAAATACGCAATCAATCTGAAAACAACGAAATCCCAGAGGACCCTAAGTAACTTTGGTTTGGTCCTAATTATTATTTGAATTTAATTGTTTTTAATTTTTAATAGATATAAAATTGACAATATTATTACGTCCGTATCACGTGACCAGAACTCCCACCAATGGCAGTGCAGTATATTTGTCATGTGTCTCCGTCTGTATCATTTGACCAGTATACTGCACTGCCATTGGTGGGAGTTTTGGTCACGTAAAACGGAAGTATAAATAACATTATCAATTATATTAAAATGAAAAAGTATTAATAGAAATAATTGACAATATAATTATGACATCCGTATCACAAAATAGATTATTCCGCAAAATAGAACTAACCTTAAAATATCAAATCAAAGAACCTGTAAAATCCTTCCCTGGGATGTTTAGAAAAATGAAAATATCCCTGTATGATAATTGAAGGACTAAAGTATGGTTTCGGTGAATTATATGGACGTTCTAAGCCTAGGGGTGTCAAACAATTTTTTTGGCAATTTTTTTAAAACACCCCATAAACCTAAAAAAGTTTAATTTTGATAAAACTTTTTGTTCTAGGTGATTGCATATATCTAAAGAAAAATTTCTTAAACCGACATATTTTTTTCTAAATTCAAAATTAAGTCAAAATAATTATTGATAATTATTGCTTTATTTCGAGTAGCTATATCCATTCCTTAAACATACCAATGCAAAACTTATTAGAAAGTGGAAAAGATTCTGCAAAAAAAAAGTTGCCAAACCAAACAAAATTTTTATTTTGAACAAGACTATTTAGAAGTTAAATAGAAGTTTTGCATTGTTTTCATTCATTAAAACAGAAAAAAGAGATTCTGTTGATGGTTTAAATTAAACAGCTGATGATTCATTGGAGGGAGGATGTAACAGACAGATCAGCTGTGACAAGGAAATGTAAATTTTTAAAAATTCAAATTTTACCTAGATATATTACTTTTGTAATATGCTTATTTCATACCTTTGATCAAATTTGACACTTTAAATTATTCTCAGGATTTTAAATGTACAAGTTTAACAGCTTTTGAAGGTCAGAGCTTTTAAGACAGACAAAACCAAGGCAGCTGGTTCTTACTAAACTCAAGGCAGCTGGTTCTTACTAAACCCAAGGCAGCTGGTTCTTACTAAACCCAAGGCAGCTGGTTCTTACTAAACCCAACCTTGTCTTGACTTGAGCTTTACTTGGGTCTAAGTAGACGCTGAAACCAGGTTTTATTCAAGTTTAAGCGTTTAAAATCCCAGCTCAGAGTAAAAAATTTGTGAACAAGCCTTTTTAAATTTTAAAATTTTAAATTATGCTTTAGCATAATATATTTAGCTTTAACTAGAACTGAATAAATACAGATTTTGAGATAAATTTGGATATGTGTGTCGACTCTATTTTCAAAATCTGGAACAAATATGAAAATTCAAAAATATATTATAAATATGTAACTTTTAGAGCAAAATTGGAAAACGTTTGTATCCCTTATTTTTATGACCAAACATGTGTTTTTTAAACCTAACTTTTTGTTGTATTCTTATCCAAACGTTTTGCATTCCATATTTTATGACAAAAAGCTTTATAGTTTCCTCATATTTCATCACCAAATCATGCCTTTTCATTCTGTATTTTTATTACCTTTGACTAAGCCTTCAGGTTCCTCGTTTTTCTTTAGCAAAGGATTGTGTATTGTTTGCTAACTGTTCTTTACGCCGCCGTTTAGAGACAATATTCATTAATGCAATACGGGGCTCAGTCCCCCTAACTGGATCAGTAAAATCTACAGATTTATGGGGGTTTTCAGGCCCCAACTCCTATAGGTGCTCATCCCCCCCCCGGAAAAAAATTAAAACTTTGTACGCCCCTAATTCTGCAACTAGATCTGCAGGATCCTAATCAGGCACTGTATTTAGAAATTTAAAGATTTGTATTCTAACCTTACTCTGGGAGGATATTTGACCAGGGAGAAGGAGCTCCAACCGGAATTACTGAAGTGGGTTTCGATAAGTTTACACACAATATCTCTGTACTTGAAGAACACACAAAAGGGTTTAAGAGAACTGTTGTTAATTGGACATTGCCCTCTTTGCATGGGAGTGTCACTTGAAATTACGCTTCTAGTCCCTTTAACAAAATAGTTACACTTGGAATTCATACCTGGACTTTAACTCCATTCTATCGGAGATATCGCCGACATTTAACTTCTCTGCCTCTGGTACACTTTCATAGAAATACTTTATGTACTCGTCTAGAAACCATGGGTTTAAAATTGAGTATATGTAGACAGTGAAAGATTTAAGTTTGAAAACATACTGGAATAAAAATAAGTGTGGTCCGGAGGCGGAACATATCTATTAAGCGCCAATTGTGGCTCGGAAGAAAACTTTTTGTGGTCCGCCTTCCCTCCGTTCTTTAGTGCTTCAAGAAAAGATATTCTTTACTTCATACAAGTTTTTGTTTAAAAATAATTCTAGAAATACATTATATCAGATTTTTTAATAATTGCCCTTTCAGTGATCTTTATTTGTATTCTGTATTCTATTCTCAACTTAAACCTAATTCAGGGGACATTAGTTCCGAAACTAATACTTGGCCCATTTCTAACAATGAGTGTTAGAAATGGGCAGAAATTGAAAGACTGGATTTTTAGGATACTGTCCCTTATGGAGTGTAAATGTCGATAGTAAAAATTATTACCAAAATTTATTAAGCATGACGAGGACAACAATTCGTAATTTAAAACTGTTTTCTGAAATCAAAATTATAATAGGAGTTCTTTTTGTATTAAAACCCCTAACCATTTTCAAGACAATGCCAGGTTTTCCATTTTCGAACATATCCTGAATTTGAATCATTTTCGCGGTTTCGAGACAACACCCACTTTCCCGTTTTTGATATAATCCGCTTTTCAGAACAAAGCTCACTTTAATAACTTAATTAACTGCTAAGTTATTTATAAAATCTTAGTTTTCCCATTTTATTTATTAAATAAGAGACTATTAAGTTGATTTAATTTCCCGCATTACTAGTTGAATCTATATTATAAGAACAAAATGATATTAATCTTTTGATTTCTCAATGCTGTAAAGATTATAAAATTATAAAAGAATAGTATATTTTTTTCTGTTTTGATGGTGGTTTTAAGCGTTTTTAGTTTTGGAACTAATTCCCCCTGTAGTTTATATTTTACAAAAATTAAAACTTCATTTTTTTATCAATTTTTATGTACACGTTTTTCAATCTTATTGTCAGTTTAAACTGAAAAATGTCAGAAATACACCTACCAAGAGAGGTTCCAAAATATGCTTTTCTAAAAAAGTATGATAATGCATTTTTAGCATATTTCAACAATATATATTTTCTGCTAATAAATTGAAAATCATTTTTTAAAAGAAAACTAAAAAAAAATATTCTAAGTGAAAGATTTAATATACCACGGTAAAAGGTTCAAAACCGTTACTTGGTCCAGACCTTACACTGAGTGATATATTTGGACCAAAATAACGAAGATGTTTAATAAAATATTTTCTTCATTCAATTCGAAGAAGGAAAAAACGCAGCTAACTTATTTCTCTAATAAGTGTACTTGTATAAAAATGCATTGATTTAGTTTAACTAAACAAATTTTTGACAATTCTTGAAAAGATTGTTCAAGAGCAAATAAACGTAAAAATATTTACATCTTGAACCCAATGTGCGAAAAGAATGTGATACACATCAAAAATAAAGTTGTAAAACATGGTTCCTAGCCAGACACGTGCAACACGTGCAACATTCAGAAGCTGAGTATCTTGGCCAAGATGGTTGGTTGATGTATAAGGTCGTCTTTTCCTAAACCAAGCATAATATTCTCGTTTTAAAACATTAAACATGTTAATCTCGTAAAAATGGGATAGTACAATATTACAAATTGGATATCCTCCACCTAGTTCCATCACTAATTCACAATGTTTTTAATCGCTGCATTAGGCCTTTTTTGGGAGACAGACTCCTAATATATGTTAAAAACGACTATCTATCTTCCAGTATTTATTAATTATAAGGGAAAGGTTTTACGACCTGAATAAAAAAAAATGCTTAAAAATCTTTGCTTAGAAAACTCGAGTTCTAATATTATCTTTGGAAAATGTTTGGTTTGGATCCCTAAAAACATGGCCGACCCTTGAGCAAGGAATAATCTCCAATCTTCCCCCGCACATCCAGATTCTCAGAGACATTTCAATATTTTCTCCTCCCCATATCTCTAGACCAGAATCGTATTCACCTATACAAAACAATTCAAACTTTTGCAAGGCCCGCCTATCCAGGGTAGGTTGTTAAAATGTTAATGTTGTTATTTTATTTATGACCACCACGGGTTATCGAAGAGAAATTAAATAAATTCGTAGGTCTGCATAAGATACGAGATCAATGCTAAGTACTTGATACCAAGATTCACAATACAGAAGTTTTGACTTCAGAAAAGTTTCAGTTTTTTTAAGTATACAACAATAACACCCATAAAACCCTAACCACAGAAACTTGGAATAAATAGTTGTACTACTTATCACATGTTGACAAAAGCGAATTTGAGATGTAATTCAACTAGTCATAACTAGTTCAACTACTTCCATCCATCTAATAAATCCAAGCTACGGTAAAAGCATGCACTGTTTATTTCAAGTACCAAGCCGATTTTTAACCAGCTAGAGCGAGCAGTGCTGTCAAAGATGTATATTAAGGTTGGTTACTCTCGATGAGCTCCAATGTATGGAATATGTCATCTCCTAAGATAGGTAGATAAAAACCTCATATGACGTTACAAATTATTGAGGCTAGATTGACGTCATATTAGGTTTTTATCTATCCATCTTAGGAGGCGACATTTTCCGTACATTGGTGCGCATCGAGAGTAACCAACCCTAATTACAGTTAAACTATGCGAGGTAACCTTGAGTACAATAAACAAACAGACTTTATAATGCAAACCGAGATAGTATATCAAATTTATCAGCTTCATCTGGGAGATTCTAATTAAACAGGAATTGGGAAAATAAAATAAAATAAAATAAAATAAGAATGGATATTAAGGATATGATGCTCAAAAGCAGTGCTTAGGATACGGATTGGTTGGATTTGCAACAATTCGGCTTTCTGGATCCGGATCCGCAAAAATCTGCGGATTCATGGATAGAGATTTTAATGACAAAATATTAACCAAAACCGGTTAAAGAAAGCCTTACTAAATACATATCCCAATTGTTAACTTGTTAACTTAACTTAACTTATTGTTTATTGGGACTTCCTGTATAATATAAGTTAAGCTGTACTGTACTGTTCCTAAGGGGGAAGGTTTGTAAGTAAAGATATCTGGGTCTATGGAATCAATAATAGGAACAACTACTGTACTCCAGGATTCACTGACAACAAATGCTTTCAAGATAAAATAAAATTATATCAAATAAAATTAAATTAAATTAAATCAAATCAAATGCAAATCTGAAAGGGCATCCCATAAAAAGTTTCGGCGAAAAAAAGCAAAAAAAAATTTTTGGTGTGTTTTTGTAAACCTCCAGATTCCATGCTGCGGTATCATTGAAATTCTTGTCAACTAAAATCAATTTCCTTTGGCCTGTTTGTAAAAAATTTAAATGCATAAATGTTTAAAAAAGGTTTCAAAAACTAAAAACTTCTATTGAAATAAGCGGGAAAAAAAGAAAATATTTCAAGGTTTTGAGACAAAAAAAAATCTAGCATAAATCCCTGATCCTAGAGAGAAGAGGTTCCAACCATTCCTAAGGATATAAAAATTAAAAAGTTAATTCAACATCCTATAGGGGTAAAAATAGGGCCGAATGGGATAAAATAGCTTCAAAACCCAAACTATTTTAGGAAAAATATAGTGAAAAAAACACACAACAATTTTGCCACTTAACATTATCAACAGCTGAGCTGGCTTTATATATATATACACTTTGTTTGTCTGTCTATGTGTATTCAATTAACGTCAAAACGGCTAAACGATCAGGCCCAAATTGTTTATAGATGATCAAAAATTCAAAACTTAGCCTCCAACAAAATTCGATTTTTATGATATTTTGAAAATATACGAAACTTTTTGTTTATCATTTTACAATGTATATGCATTGAGAAAATGCTCACAATTGAAATAGAAGACGGCGCGAAGCGCCCTGTAAGCCTAGTTTTTCTTTGATTCAAATGGCAGCTTAAAAAAACAGTTTGGTCAGATATTTAACACCTGATTGCACTCAATATGGCTGTCTAGGAAAACCAGAACATCCCCACTATACAAAAGGCATATTATGTTCAAGGTAAATAAAAAGTATTGATTTAATCTTTTTTATTGTTGCTTTTTATTTTTTTTTATGATTTACTTACAGGGTTACCCACAAAAAATGAGATTACAAAGACGACTGTACGGAATTTAAACTGTCTGTTTCCTTATATTTTTGATTCTCTGCAACTTTAAACTTGTTTCTTTCCTGTGTCCAATCATTAAACATGCCGGAAAAAAAATTAAGACAAAGACTGAATTCAATCTTGGAATTGGACCATAATAATTAACAGGTAGTTTTCTTAGTCTCTCCTTTGTGGGTAACCCTGTAGATTGTAAGCCTAATTTCATGTGACCTTCTCCGTGCAAAGATGCCAATACCCGATTCACGACGATACCCTTGCAACCTTTATCTGATAAAAATGTGGAAGATATGGTCGCTTTTCAACGTTTGAGTTTATTTCAGGTTCATACTAAATGTTTTCCTGTAGTCAATGTGATTTAAAAGGTTTCACGCTCTGAAGCAGAAATCTATATGAATTTTGCCGATTACCTCTTAAAAACCAGAGCTAACATGCAAGTGCTCTTAAAATGTACATGTAAAGGCTAAAGAGAAAAGCATTTGCTAACTTTTCTTATGTTCTGTACCACTGTGCAGAGCAGTAAAATCTTAGCCCAAGGCGTTGCGACACTTCAAAGTCGACGCTGTCTTTAAAAATGATGAGATTGTTTACAAGAAGGCTGAATCTAGGTGTAGTAGAATGCGCAAGTCACTTTGAAGAGAGCAGAACCCGTAATTGAAAAAAAAATATTTCCAGATTAAAATCATTGACATACTTTAGCAGACAAACATTTAAAGGGTACCGTTGTGAATCGGACTTTGCCATGTCTTAAGGTCGCTTGAAATTACACTAACAGTCCTTTTAAACAATTTCTAAATGAATTTAGAGGCTTGTTTTCTGTTTTAAAAAATCTTTCATAATATGGTGCATTCCTAGCATTTCGCGCTCCAAGAATCCTCGCGCGGATAAGTCCTTCACGGCCTCCACTATGAAGAAGACGGACCTTGCTCCAGTTTGGTTCTTTAACCTTTTTTAAATTTAAAAATCAGAATTTCATTTTTGAAAATTTAAATGAAATAGTCACCTTGGCTTCCACGCGGTCAATTTCTCTCTCGCTTCCATCATTCACTAAATATGATGTTTTTTTGTGAGAAACATTCATTTAATGAAATATTATAATTCCAAAAATGAATAGAGAAGGTTTATTAAAACTTGTTCAAAAAATAAATAAACAAAAAGTTGTTGTAAGATTGCGGATCGTTAAATATTATGAATTGATGAAAGACTAATTATGTTACCCAATATAACTTCTAAAAGACTGGCTTCTGGGGATCGTCGTAGAATAGATTCAACAGTTCTAAATTAAAGAATCAGATCAGGGGCCAGATTTAATGAAGAACGAGAAGTAGCTGAACCAGACAGACGTAGTTAAACCACTTCTCTTATGCGCGAGGATCAAATTTAACAATTAGTGTGTCCATAGTTCAACCATTTCTCTTGTGTATGTACTGGTTCAAGATGAAGAAATGGTTGAACCGTGACTACGCTGTTCAAACTGACCATATTCGTGCATTTTACACCTATTTGTTTAAAAGCTTGATATAAATCCAAAATTTAGATCAAAAGTCGTCTTCATTACATTGATATAATCGCCAACCACCGTAGCAAACCCTATGAACCCCGTCTTACCTAAACAATGTTTCTGTGTGTTCATTGTAGAAACAAACGATAACAGATGCAGTGAGCAGTACAGTTGGATATTCTTTAGTCAAACAAGTCTGTGCAGTACAATATTATTATAACTATTGTTGTTTTTGATATAGCTATTACACTCGAATCTAGTCTGTTAAAAAAACAATATCTTTAATCAAAACAATAACAGATACGGAGAGCAGTCCAGTTGGATATTTTTTAGACAAACATGAGTACAATATTATTATTTAAAACAATAACAGATCAAGATAGCAGAACAGTTGGATGTTCTGAAGACAAACAAGTCTGTGCAGTACAATATCATGAATCAAAACAATAACAGATTCAGAAAGCAGTACAATTGGATATTCTTAAAACAAACATGTCTGTGCAGTACAATAGTATTAATCAAAACAAGAGCAGTACAGTTGGATATTCTTATGATAAAAAAGTCTGTGCTGTACAATATTATTATTATTATTGTTGATTTTGATATGGCAATTACACTTGAATCTAGTTTGTTTAAAATACTGATATTGTATTTCCTTGTGTCGAGTGTCTGGGAGTTCCCTGAATTCTCCAATACGTCGGCTCACAAGTACATTGTACGCTACCTCCCTATGTACATAATAACAGAACTTCAGATTACAGGGTGTCCCACTTTATATTAGATCGGTTAAAACTCTAAATTGAGATTTAAGGAAATAAAAATGAAATAAAATTAATCATTTAAAAAATGTGTGAGGCCAATGTAAAATTTTTCTTGTATGAAATGGTTTTATCTGCATATTTTGCTGTTAAAGCTTGGAGGTAATCTAATATGATATAGGACGTTCTGTACAAACAAATGTTTTAAATACTTATTCTACAATATGCACAAAAATATAAATGGATTTTTTTTTAAGATTTAAATATTTAATAAGTACCTGTATCCTTTTTCCATCTCTTCTCTCTCCTTTTCCAAGAAAATCAATTATTTCAAACAGATTTTGTTCAAAAAAATATTCAGTACAAACTTATCCTTTCAGATTAATTTTATTGATAAAAAAAGATTAACATTGAAATCGTGTTTTTCCCTTTTTGGTTTTTACAAGTGCAAGATCAGAGATGTTCGCTTCACGGTCTGTTCCTCTTTACAAAACAAAACAAAATGGTGGTGCTTGTACAAAACAAAACGGTGGTGCCTGTACAAATGTATGACGTCATATGTGTTACTCAAGTTAAATCCTAAATATATGAAGGAAGGAGTAGAGGAAGGCCCCAACCTTAAAAAATTCTCTATCTAACCAAAGTGGCTCAAAAAATCTTTTCCTTAACCCCACATATCTCTCGGACTCTCCCCCCCCCTGCATCATTATTCTCTTTGTGATTAAAACAAAACTTTAGAAAAAGGGATTGTTATTGCATTTTTTATAACTCTCCATTTAAAAAAATGTATGCTCTATTTACAACGGTATTCTTTCTACCTTTCTCTGACCAATAGATATCATCGCTTTAGTTTAGTTTGAAAAATTTCTCTTTTGTTTTGAATCAGATATTCTCATATCGCTTAAAAATTAAAATTAATAGTTTTTAAAGAGAAAAACATGAGTATCTTATTCCTGCTTTATTATACAAGCCGTTGAGAATTAGACTTGCTACTCGATAAATGGAGGGTCACATGAAATTATTATTTTTAAGCGATCAAAGAGATATTTCCCACAACAGTAATTAAAATTAAACTTCCTGGAGGAATCTGATATACAGGGTTTCCCAAGAATACAGGAATTGATAACGACTTAAAAATCGTCTTCTGTTTTAGAATTGTCAAAGAGTGAATCTTATGAGCATTTAAAAATGTGGTCTTCTTTAAAGATTCAACGATCTTGTGATTATTTATAAATCAAAATCTGGACAATGTTTTAACGAGATAGTGCAAAAATTGTTTTCGTGTAGGCAGAGTCTGTTGAAGGGGGGGGGGGGCATACAGGGCAAAAGGGGGATGGACAATCCCACTTTCAGTAAAAAAGCATTTATTTCACCCTAAATTTTGGGGGATTCACCTGTCCCGGTGCCCCCCCCCCCCTCCCTTCAGTTATGGCCCTACATGAAATGAATCGAGTGGAAAAAAGATGTAGAAGTCGTCGCTTTATTCCCATGTTTACTGAGACACCCTGTATATCTCAAGATAAATCTAATACTATAATATAATACTATATTGGAAGGAATTTATTTCAAAATATCTTATTTCCTTTGTTAGAGATTCAGCAGTACCTTTATATCTTTCATACATAAAAAGATAAAAGTGAAACTTTTATTTCGTCTAAACAATTTTATTTAGAGAATGTAATTATGAATGTTTCCGTGTTTCTAGTACCTTTAAATATATGAAAAATAATCCATTTTTATAAAGAAAAATATGGATAACTCATTTATTTTTTATCAGAAATAGCTTTGAATCGTAAATCGGACATGCCAGTTTACAATATGCATGGTAACTTTAAATTACAACTAAATGCGTATTGTTAATGCATGTCACATTTTTATAATATTGAAATAATTAATACAAATAATAGCATCAATTTATCAATCCTTTATAGCAATCACAACAAATAATAAGCTTTGTGGTTTGTTTGAACAGTTTATCATTAAAATCATTTTAATCTTTGGAAAATATCAAAGATGGAAATGATGGAGATTACTAAGCTGCTTGAACTATATGCGAATGGTTCTAAGAATTCTTATAAAACCTCTTTGAAAAATTTGATTTATTTAACTTCGTGTTATGACGCGATCCCAATTCAGGGATGAACGCGTGTATGTTTTTATTTTCTAATAATTCGACCTTTAATAATCAATAGCTCTTATCTCTTATATATTTTAGTATGTATATGTATTTTATATCAGCTACAGCTGGCCAAACGGCTGGACCGAATGGGCTGAAATTTGTGTAGGAAACCCATGGGTACCCTCGGGGATTATAGACAAAAAAAATCGAATTTTTTCTTCAAAATCGAAATTATTTTATTTCAAAATTCGAATTTTTATATTTCACGGCCAACGCCGGGCACTCCAGCTAGTTAGTAGTTGATGTTAAAGCAAAAAAAAATTTAAGAAATTTTGATTTTCAAAATCCGGATATTAATTTGGAAAAATAATCGAAAATCCTTAAGAACTTATTAACTCACAGTATTGAGTGCGAAACACCTCTCTTCAGGGGCGTTTTTAGGAATTTAGGCAGGGCCGTATTCAGAAATTTGATCAGGGGCGTTTTCAGGAATTTGGTAATTTGGTCAGAGACAGGGGGGGCTTAGATTAGCTCAGCACCAGTTGGGGCCCAACAATAGTCCCCAAAGCCCCCCTGAGTACGTCTCTAAACCTCCTTGATCAAAATCTTAAGAATGCAAGAATGGTTTAACCTCAAAAAAATGTTGCTATAGCATTTGTTTTGATTCCTGTAAACTATTTTCGGTTTTAAATCTTCTCGCGACATTTTCTAAAAATAGAATGAAAATATTAATATTAAATTTAAGTGTAAATATAACTTTAAAATGTATTAAAGTAAAAAAGAGAAAAGTACAAGATTAAATAAAAAAAAAACATAATAAAATGATAATAATCAACAATCACGTAGAAATCAAGGCCAAGTCACCTTAACCGCCAAAAGAAGGAAATAAATTTCTGGTTGTTAATCGACACAAGAATACCAAACACGGCAAACCGAGGGATTTGTAAATAATGAAAAGTACAGGTTGTCCCACGAAACATGACAGTTTGAATGTCTTTATCCATATACTGTATAACCCGTCGGTTGCAGGGTGCGATTTAAACTAAAAATCTTTTTCTCAATATATTTTACTTTGGAATCAATTTTACTATGACTGCCATGAAATATTTGTTATTATTCTATTAGGTATCTAACAACTTAACAAATTAAGGAAGAAGACATTTTTAACTATCACAAACTCTCATGTTTAGTGGAACACCCTGTAACTGAGATTGAGACGGGTAATTCGACTTTTTTTGCTGATAATTCACTTCTAGCTGAGAACACTCAATTAATAAATGAAGTGAATGATTTAAGCTTTTAACTATTACTCTGAAATTGGTCATCTTCAGTTTTTGGCAGATTTTTCTTTTCAAATTAGCGTATTTCAAAAAAAATCCAAACACTTTCAGAATTCTTATTCCGATTTTGATGTTTCAAAAACTTTTCTTTGGGTAATGTGAGGTCCCTCACAAAGTTTGGCCCGATAGATCGGAAAAGCTTTTTTGTCTATCTATTACAAACAAAAACAGACAGACAGTCACAGACAAGCAAGGTAAATAAATAATTGATAAATGTATAAATGAATTAATAAGATAATTAATATAATCAATCAAATTGAGTGGTTCTCAGATTATCTATTATCTATCCGGAAATATTTTTTCTGCCTTTAACATAGTCTTGACAATTGATAAACATAATGATTTGACGATGCCAGTTGCCAACCAAGCATATAATGGTAAATAAATTCGAAAATAAATTCCTTATCTAAATTCAAAATCCTTCAAACATTTTCATCTTATCACTGAACTTTTACTTAAATTGAACACGGTTTTCTCTAAATTTTTGTAAACTGATTAATTTAGATTGCGAGTTTTTTCTCACATTTAAAATGCAAGAAATCTTCCACTTGATCGATTAGAAAGAACTGTTGTTAATCAAATATATTTCCATCTTAATTGAAGGGTAGCTTGAAGTTTTGCTTATTCTCCCCTTAATATATTCAGTTGCATAATTAAACATCTATATATAAATTTGGCTTGTCTGTCTGTCTGTTTGTATCCAATAAACGTCAAAACGGCAGAACAGATCGGGCCCATTTTTTTTGTGGGACATCACGTATACACAGGGAAGGTTTATGAATGATAAAAATTTTAAAAAATGTGTTTTAAAGGTTTTTAATTTTGTAAAAAAAATTAAATTCTTGAAAATCAGCGAATTTTTTTTTTTAAATCCGCAAAATTTTTTTCTTCTTTGTTTTAAAATGTAGACAAAAAGAACATGTTCACCATTTAAATAAAAGATGGGCTCGAAGCGCCCAAAAAGCCTAATCTACTAAAATAGGATAAAATTGTATCCCAAGAAAATTATCCTAACCAAAATGTAAATAATATAAAGAAAGATTACATATTCAACTGACCTTCACAATACCCATCATTCATTAAAACTCTATTGTGGAAGAGAATGTTTAATAATATAACTATACGAATTACGGTGTACCAACAATCAATGTTATCAATTTATGACATATCTGATAATTTTATTTACTTATTTCAGAAATTCCAAAATATGGTTTACCATATTTGCATCTACAGAATTAAAGGAGTTATAAGAGATCTATCCAGAGCTGAAAACTTTAGAAATGAGATATCTTTAATCCCGATTACTTAATCTGAATATCCAATGGACACACTTTTGATTTTCTTCTTAAACAGTAAGAACTTGGATAGATTAGAGAAAAATTTAGAACCGGTTTTTTAAATTCAGATAGTTCCTCCCAATTTTGTATATTAATCTGAAATGGCGCGCAACATTTCAAATTTATCGGCTTCGTATACGCGACTCCGATTGGTTGAATTTTATACACTTTTCAGAATACAAGTCCAAGATTAGATTAGTAGCGATATTATGAAAAAGAAAGGATCACGCATTAATCTAGATATCCACCATTCTAAAGTTTTCAGCTCTGAATTCTTGTAAAATTGGAATCTTTCAAATGTTTAATGTATCCGTGAAGTAGAAAGATGTTAACGATTAAAAAATTCCCTTGATCATCTAGCGAAAATTGAAGATTTCAAGACATCTTTTATTTCTCATGTCAAATACGACCTGTAGATATTTATTCGGATTACTTTACCCAACACTTTAACGTTCGAAATCAACTCATTTTAAAAAAGTAATTTTCTTCAAAAATGGACTTACTGACAGAGATTTGTAGTAAGATGAATATTCATATTTTGCCTCATACTTCACACCAAATACATATTTATAAGCTACAAAACCAAAAATGGTCAACAATAAGCCAGTTACAACTTTACTCGGAGTAACACGCGGCATTCCGAGCATTTTAATTCATTTCATCTGAAATTGTAAAATTCAAACAATCTTTCGTATTTTTAAGAGTTTATTTCAGAAATTTACATTTCTTGGTTCAGGAATTCCTCTCTACTTCAACTCTTTGACCTGAAACAAAACAAATATATAAATCTTCTTCAAATATAAGATAAAGAAAGACGAGATAATTTTACAAAATATATAAATCGTATTTTCTTGAATTTTTTAAATCACCGGCTCTGAAGACTACGGGGGGGAGTAACTAACCCGAAGACCACCGGGGNCATACTAGACTTAAGACAGGATATACTAGACATAGGACTGGATATACTAGACATAGGACATGGTATACAAGACATAGGACATGGTATACTGGACATAGGACAGGATATAATAGACATAGGACAGGCTTTACTTAACATAGGACAGGATATACTAATATATGACAGGGTATACTATACATAGGACAGGATATACTAATATATGACAGGGTATACTATACATAGGACGGGATATACTAATATATGACAGGGTATACTATACAAAGGACAGGATATACTAGACATAGGACAGGGTATACTATACATAGGACATGGTATACTAGACAAAGGAAAGGATATACTAGACATAGGACAGGGTATACTAGACATAGGACATGGTATACTAGACAAAGGACAGGGTATATTAGACAAAGGACAGACCACAGGGTATAGTAGACAAAGGACAAGGGTATATCAGACATAGGAGAGCCGACAATGCTATGATTTACAATCTATGTAAAAACCCACTTCTCAGGGGGTTCTCTATTCTCTACCTTGAACTTGGTGTTGTCAGCATTCTTCTTTATCTTGACGCTCTTGGCATCCTTCCTTCTCGCCTTCAGAAGAAAGTCCTGATAAAATTGGAACAATTAGAAGAAGTTTCACAATTTCTTATTTCTTCGTAACACACTAATATCTGGACAAACATTGACTTGTCGCAACGCATTTGCCATAGGTTTAACCACACCAACGCATTTATACATTTTTTGTAGCCCTAGGCATACTGATACAAGTTTTAAAGAAACAAAAAATCGTTGAAGTTAAGGAGTGTCCAATGTTGGTACTGGATAGAATTCTATGGAAATTTTTATTACAAAACTCGGTCGCTACTTTTTACTGTCAAAACTAAAATAACCACCCTGCATAAAAATATAAGCCCATTTTTATCTCCAACGACGATAGAAGTGTTACAACTACTTTCACATAAATTTAAAAAATTCCTAACGACAGGTAAAGTAACATTATCCGTGAAGTTTTTGTCAAGAATTAGAATTTCTGGAAAAAGTAAAGTAGTTTAATTTTATCGTAATTTGGGATATTAAATGCACGAATTTTTTCGCGGGAGTTTATTTTCCTTAATTCTACCAAGGGACATTGTGTACCCTGACATCTCACTGTTTTGGAAATCATAGGTCAGTAATGTTGGTCGAAAGGCAAGAAAATAAAATAATAGAACTACCTTGATCTCCTTAATTTCCCGGGGCATCTTCTCTGAAACATAGTTTATTAATATATTACGAATATAAATACAATACGATCACAAATACATGACGTCTGGTGGACCAGACAAAGGTTCATTCTGGTTTCTGCAGCATACCAGACGAGTACACATTACACACCAGACTTGTTCTAACGTCTATTATTATCAGGTACAAAATATCAGAAATAAACTGATACAAAAATGATTCCGCCAAGCAGTCTTATCCTGCTGGAAAATGCTTTGTTGTCATATGTATCTTGTTAACACATGTTTAGCTCATACGCACTGATCCGCGTACTATCTTGACGTCATCGATAGGACGGTCATTCTCGTCAGTCTCAACCTACACCATGTATTCATTAGTATTAAGTTTCTCTTAAAATCAAAATTAAATTTTCTTTAAAAATGATAAAATAACGTTATCATGATCAATGAAAATGCTATCTCACCCCGGCTTAAGAAGTTACATTTCCCATTAAAAATAAACATGGAATTAGAATGCTTTGTTTAAAGGGGTTTGAAGTGCGTACCTGTCCTATCTGCTTTACAGTCATCATGCCTGTATGTACTCTTCCAAATATTGTGTGCTTACTGTCCAACCACTAAAAACACACAAAATAAAGGAAAAGTCAACGAAATAGAAAATAAAGTAACAGAAAATAAAAAAACAGTCAACGAAATTGAAATTTAATTAACAGTCAACGAAATCGAAAAAAAACATAAGCAAAAACATGAAAAATAAAGAGATAAAAGAGAAGTTAATTTTTCAACGAAATTGAAATTATCAAAAAAAAATAGAAATAACGGAATAGTCTCGCGAAATTGAGACGATGAGATTCTGTTGACGTAATTTTTCAATAAAATTGAAAATCAACGGATAGTCGAAGAAAGTAAACTTAGGAAAGGTCAACGAAATAGGGAAAAAAGGATATTATACGAAATATGAATAAGTCATGTAAGACGAAATTAACTCAGACACAAAAAAATCCTAAGGGTTTAATAAACAAAATGAGATTTTAATGAAAATTCTTTTTAAAAAATCAGTAAGGACACAAAAAAATGAGGTTTAATGAACCAATTGGGAAAAAATGATTGAAATAAGAAAAAATGTGTATAGTTCGTATTAATTTATGAATACCTGACATGGTGCAATAGTTATGAAAAACTGAGATCCATTAGAGTCAGGGCCGCTATTTGCCATACTAAAATAATGTTTTTTTCTAAATGCTGCAGAATGTCAATTCTTCGGATCTGCATTTTTTTCATACAAAAAATCCTCAATAAAATTAACAGTATTTATTTAATTTCGCGCCGAGCGTCAAAAAAAACAAGGAAAAGAATGGACTTTTGGATTAAGATAAAAACACTACTCGAAACTTAAAATGTTAGTTGATGTTCATAAGATTCTTATATCAAAGAATTGAGTATGAAAACCAACTTAAATATTATTCCAAATTCTGAACACCTATGCACCTATGTAGAGAGGTCATACGTTGAAGAGAATTGGTTAAATGCTTCAAAACCAATGCAGAGAAAAAAGTTAAAAAATTGCAGAGGTAACAGTAATTTATAATTTATATTATCGATTCACAGAATCTGTTTAAACCGAGACACGATTTGTACTTTGAATACATGCTCAAATCACCACGGTACCTTTGCAACATTAAAATAATCATTGATGTAGAAGTCCCTGTCGATTCCTAACTGAGAAGGTTTCAAACAGTAAATTTCTCCATATTTTCGATGTTACGTTTTCGGTCCCTTTAAAGGAAAAGATTTTCTGTAAATCGTTTTTTATTAGGGTGACTCCTCATGTAATTAAAATGTTAAAATAATGATATTGGTAACCAGAAAACCGTGGAACGTTTCATTGAATTTGTTGGATCCATATTTTTAAATCTTTAAAAGTATTACGAGTTCTGGGCATATTCATAAATAAATGATTTTCTAGATTTAGTTTAAAGTTGATAAAACGAAAGAAATGTCCGTTAATTCTCAGAAAATTCTTACATGAAAGAACTCGGTTTGAAAATCAACTTTTACTATTCCAAATTCTGAACACCTATGCACCTATGTTATGAGGTCATATGTTGAAGAGAATTGGTAATGCATCATAACTTAAGATAATATATCAAAAATGTCCAACAATACAGCATTAGCAGATCAAATAATTTTCTCCCATGGCCTAATTTAGACATAAAAGAATTCGAAGTTATTAATTTGGATGGTTTCCTTTCCGTGTTAGAAATCAATAAATCTTGAAAGAGTCGTTAACTCCAAAATGAATGTTTGACATTTTCTAAAAGAAACTGAGCGTAAGTGACCTTCCGTGAGAAGAAAGCAAAAACCGATTCACAACGGTACCCTTTCAACTTTTGTCCAAGGAGTATGAATTAGAAGGGAGATTCAACTGACACGGTCCGCCCCTACCATATGATTATACATGCTTTGCAGACGGTACTCCTTTTGTATAAGAAATATTTGTCTGATGTACAATTACTACGTATAAAATAACCTATTCTGAATATTTCTTATACGATTGGAGTACCCGTCTGCATAGTATGTATAATCATATGGTAGGGCGGGCTGCGTCAGTTTTACTCCCTTCTATTTCATACTCCAAGTATGAATTATATATGTTTGTAATTTGAAAAAAATAATATTGCATGAATAATGGTATCACCATTAGTTGTATTTTTCAGTAATAATCCTTTATCTGATCAATAATTTGGAAGATAATTGTATTTCTATGTTGAAAAATATTGCAGTCACGTTTTTATAAAAACAGTGATATATAATCAATTTTTAAAGAAAGAATATAGAGTTAAGTGTGACTCTTACATAAAATTCTTTAGTTTGAGTAACATTAAAACTTAAAGTTCCTACCTGAGAATTCCAGCTCCTGTATGTTTGAGATCAGAATGTATTTCATCGTCAAAACATTTTCCATAAATACTAGCTCCGCCCCGCCCTGTACCAGTCGGGTCCCCGCCTTGGATCATAAAATCCTAAAATCAGAATATTTAAATATAATACTAGCTCCGCCCCGCCCTGTACCAGTCGGGTCCCCGCCTTGGATCAAGTCCTAAAATCAGAATATTTAAATAGAATAAAAAACAAGGGTGTATGTGTACTGTATATTCTGAAGTATTTACACGTAGATTTTAAAAATGGTCTCAATTTTTAAAATCCGATTAGAAAGTAGTCTGCTACACCCTTATTCTCCGGGTTTTGTAGACACTTATATATCCAGTATATATAATTATACCTTGATAATTCTATGGAACTTAGTTCCATTATAGTATCCTCGTCTAGCAAGTTCAGCAAAGTTTCTGCATGTGAGAGGAGCGTGCTTCCAATAAAGTTCAACTAACACCTGAACAATGAACATGAGATATTCTTAACACAACTTAATAGAGGGGGGAGGAGCATATCACGAGCACTGCAGTTTTTTTTTTGCAATCTCAGGTACTCCTATAAACCCCTCCGAAGTATCGATTAAAAACTTATTTTTTATTTTTAAATGTATTTTTTATACTTATATTAACAATATTTACATTCTAGACAAAATGGCTTTCTATTAGGATGAAAACCAGAAGAATGCATTCCATTAGGACGAATTCCGGACAAACTACTTTCTATTAGAAGGACTACCGGACACAGATTATACCAGGTTAGACTTATTCCATTAGAACCAGTTCCAACCAGACTTGTACATTAGGACGAGTTCCAGACCTGACTTATTCCAATAGGGCGAGTTCCAGACCAGCCTCCAATGGAACGAGTTCCAGACAAGACGATTACTAACATTGATATATAATTCATACTCTTGTCAGACAAAACTTGCAAGGGTACCGTTGTGAATCGGGCATTGCCATCTTCTCATAGAAGGTCAATTAACTTAGTTTCTCGTTAAGAAAAGTGCCAAACATAGAAGGAAGATCAGAGAGCTAAGGAATAACTCCACGAGGACAAAAAGCAAAGGGATTAGATAGCTAAGGGATCACTCCACAAGGACAAATTACGCAAAGGGATCAGATAGCTAAGGGATCACTCCACGAGGACAAAAAGCAAAGGGATCAGATAGCTAAGGGATCACTCCACGAGGACAAATTACGCAAAGGGATCAGATAGCTCTAAGGGATCACTCCACGAGGACAAAAAGCAAAGGGATCAGATAGCTGAGGGATCACTCCACGAGGACAAATTACGCAAAGGGATCAGATAGCAAAGGGATCACTCAACGAGGACAAAAAGCAAAGGGATCAGATAGCTAAGGGATCACTCCACGAGGACAAAAAGCTAAGGGATTAGATAGCTAAGGGATCACTTCACGAGGACAAAAAGCAAAGGGATCAGAGAGCTAAAGAATCACTCCACGAGGACAAAAGGCAAAGGGATCAGAGAGCTAAGGGATCACTCCACGAGGACAAAAAGCAAAGGGATCTGAGAGCTAAAGGATCACTCCACGAGGCTTCAAAAAGCAAAGGGATCAGATAGCTAAGGGATCACTCCAGGAAGACAAATTACGCAAAAATAAAACTTTCAGCAAGGACGAAACCCGGTAGACAGTAAAAACCTTTCGACGGGTACAATTCCAGACAGGATTTCGGAACAGTACTATTTCTGGACAGAACATTTTCCAGATATGACTATTTTCGAACAGACTGTTTTACGGACAGGACGATTTCCGGAAATAGAAAACAACAGAAAAAAATGACTGTTTACCTCCCCGGCAGTCGTGTCCAGAACAACAAAGGGTGGTTGCCAGTTCTTGTCCGGGATTGACATTCTACCTGGAATTAAGTTATAAATATAATAAATGTCGCTAGATCATATAAGGCTTCTAGAAAACTAATAATTTTGGTACATATTAACATGGTAAAGAAGGAATTCTTTTCCAGGGCTTAATTTTCAAGTTGGAAAGAGTGGAGACTTGCTATTTCATTCGTTTCCCAAACATCAATTAACAAATAGGGAAATATTTAGTATTCAACAGGGAGGGTTATATAATACTTTTTCTTCCTTCAAATATCAAAAGTTCATATTATAAAAGTATTTAAAATCATTAGCAAAATTTGAATGTACAAACAATAAATAAATATAAAATATAGTTAGTCAAATTTGTAAATGTCGTGAAAATACATTAGTTGCATGGAGATCGGACTAAGCGTAATGTTTCCTGTGTTTTATATAAATAAGAGTTAAAATAAGTTTAAGAATCTCTGTTCAACAGTTTAACTTGGTCTTCCACCAAAGTCAACCTTTTCTCCATATAGAGAACAGTCTTAGTCAGGGTTTCCAGTTTTCCGGAGATATTTCTGAGTTCGGATAATATTTCTTCTCCTGAACCAGATTCCTTGGTAGTTCCATCATTACTCAATACTAGCTTGGAGATAGAATCCTCAACTTGGTTTATATTCTCCTTGCTTCGGAGAAGGTTACTTTTCAAGCTTAAAACCGGACTTTCAAGTCTACTACTTTGTGCTGGTGCCGAGTTCTCCTAAAATATTCGACATTTTAGTCCCTAACTCAAATTCGGATTATTTCCAAGATTTGATAATCTCGACAAAAAAACTATTTTTAAACACAAACTCAATTTAGAAAAAAATTTAAAACGCTGTTTCTTCAAATAAGGGGATGGTGGATATGTTCTAGTTAATGAGGGGGGGAAGGTGTCCCTGCCTTCAATTCTAGTTCAAATCTTCCAATTAAATTGTACGAATTTTACTAAAAAGAAAAAATAGGACACTAATGACCTTTAAAGTTAAAGGTCCTTAGAGATCATTATAAGGTCAAAAACTGGGTTCCTAGCTTTCGTTTGATACGCAAACAGCCAGTTAAAACATTTTTCGAGATCATTAGAGGCCATTGGAGGCAATCAGAAGTCATTAGATGTTATTAGTGTCAAATTTTATATTCTATTTTAAGAAATTCAAATACATATTAGACGTGAAGCCAAAAATTGGAAGATCTGAACCAAAAATTATGGCAAAGTTGCGCTGATTTTTCGATTTTCTTGCCTTCAGACTTTCAAATTTTAATTTTTCAGCTTAAATAATCAGAAATCATTCCCCTAGTGCCGGGGGGTTTTTCTGAAAAATATACACCCCTGAATTTCGGAATTCTTGAGGAAATCTTGCCAATTTAGGTTCAAAAAGATCCTTGCTATAAATAGCTAAGCCGAACCAAAAATTTAAAGCTTTAAAAATCCCTCAAAGGAACGGACATTTTGATTTTATTTAAACTTCCACTTTCTAACAAAAATCTTAAAATCTTTACTTTGTTGACAGTAAAGAAGGTTTTGAAAAAATTTAATTTAAATTAATTTAATCTTTTCAGAGTGCTTCAAAACCCAACTTTGTCGGAGACCTAGACTTTCTAAAAAAAGGTCAACCCACTCAACTTGAACCTTTTGGGTCAAGATATGAATATTCCCGAGATTATCCAGAGAAAATTTGAGAAAAATCAGTCGAGGGGTTGGTAACGAGTGATCGACACACGAACAAATAAAGATTATAACTTAATATATATATTCCGCATGGTAATTGTGTAGGGGTAACTGAAATTAATTGATTTAGCGTTATAGCTTAAATTTTACTGCCCACAGTGGATATCGAGATCAAGGGTATCCGGATTATATGTATCCACTACTCAAGCTCCCAGAGCTGAGCTGGGAACTTTTGAATGGTGGATATCGGGATTAAGGCTTAATCCACTCTTTTTCTTAATCTTAAACTGTAGCAGCCAATCAGAGAAAAGCGGGCAACCAGTGAGAGAACAGAAATATTCTCATTGGAGAAAACAATTAACGAATATCCAAGGAGAGAGAAAAAGAGTGGATTAAGAACCAAAATGAAAAGTTTCCACAGTGGATATTCGGATCAAGAAGTCAGGATTAAAGTTTATCCTTTCTAAAGTTTTCAGCTCTGGAAACTTAATTTTGTGTTGGATACTGATAATCCCCTTAGCATAATCTCGATATCCACTATGGACACTCTTAATTGAAGAATCAATGCTTAATCTCTTCATTTTAGTTATTCCTCCAGTGTACGAATACCATGCGGTATATCGAATCAAGATTAAATTAATCTGCAGATTAACAAAAGCTCGAGATATCCACAATTCAAGGGTTCCCAGCTCAGATTAGTTATTTTAACATATTAGAGACTGTTACCTTATCTGCTGTTGCTCTATTAGTCTCCAGGTTCCCTTTCCAGACCAATATTTTACCATCTGTACAACCAGAGGAGAAATATTCACCTTGGGGCGAGAATACAACAGCATTCACACTCTTCAAAGAAAATAAACAAGATCAAAACATGGCGAAACCGACAATTTTTAACGGAAAAAATCTTTTCCAGATTATTAATGCTGAATAAAATTAAGAAGTATTTAACTAATTCAACCATTTAAAATAAATAATTTTCAGACAGAAAAAATAGGGAAAAGTTTTCCGGCTTGCGATGAATCTTATAAACTGAAGTAACAAACGCAATACAATTTCTGAAGAATTTAAAACTCTCAAATTTCCTTTATTACTAATAACTTCAGTGCACACCTTTTCATGTCCGTAGAGAGTACAGATGGGTTTGACGGTGAGAAGGTCGAACAGTCTGACCGTCTTGTCCTGGGAAGCGGAGACAAGATAGCTTCCGGATGGGTGAAAGGACACCTGGTTGACCGGACCTTCATGAGCGGAATACTGCTGCTGAAGCTTCAGTGATCTTACATCATAAACCTTCACTTTACTGTCAGATGTTCCAACCCCTAGAATATTCATCAAAGTTTAAACTTTTTCTTCAAATTTCGCGGATTTTCCAGGTTAAAAAAATCCACTTTTTCGATATGAAAATATAATATACCAGCATAATATAATATAACAGAATCTGAGGGAAATATGAAGACACTAGAGGTAAACTTTTGGAAGAATGTTTTAACTAAATTTGTTTTCGTAAAATTGACGTCNAAAAATTGAGGAATGATCATCAGCTAAAAATAAAAAAAATTATCATTTGTAAGGAGGACGAAAATTAGTCTGTTTTCTGGTTCTCATTGTATTGGGGGGGTCTTACCTATACAAGATCCACTGGGATGAAAGGCTACATGTTGAGGAAATCCTTTAGGTTCGTTGAAAGTATGAATACAAGTGCCAGACGTTTCATCCCAAACTTTAATAGTCTAATCCATTCATTCATTTTACATTCATTCAGGACACGATTGAAAGAACGCAGAGGGATAAATTCGTAATTGATTGGAAGAAAGCATTTAAGAATATAGGTTAGGAGAAGGATAATTATGAAAGGTTAAAAGGAAGGATGAAAGGTTAAAAGGAACAAAGAATGAAAGGATGAAAAACGAAAAGGGACAAAATAAAAAAATGTAAGATACTAGATAAAAAGCAATGTGAAAGGATGAAAGGATAGTAGATTAAAAGGGAGGATGAAAAGGATGAACAGGATGGAAAGGATGGAAAGGATGGAACGGATGGAACGGATGGAACGGATGGAACGGATGGAACGGATGAAAAGGATGGAACGGATGAAAAGGATGGAAAGGATGGAAAGGATGGAAAGGATGGAAAGGATGGAAAGGATGGAAAGGATGAAAAGGATGAAAAGGATGAAAGGATGAAATCAAGTATTTGGTTAAAATGTCTGGCTTACAAGATCTTGCCCCTGATCAAACTAAGAGAGGAAAATGATGAAAATTATATTAATGAATTGCTGAGTAAAGAGGGAATTTAATTAAGTCATCAATTTGAGGGAAATGAAAACTGGGGTCAGTCGGAACATAGCAGAGGGGGGATAGAAAGGGATGGTAAGGGTGCTAGATAATGGGAATGCTGGATTTGGAACGCGAGTGCCGGTGTCAAGTTAAAAATGTCCGGGCGAGAAATTATGTCCAGACTGAAGTGTCTGTATTACAAAAATTTTTTAAAAATCTGAAGATTTTTTACATTCTACAAGTTTTAGCAAAGGGGATGGTGGAGTTGGCAAATTTAATGAAGGGGGGGGGGGGGCCT